TTGAATGCTATTCAAGTAATTAATACCAAAAAAAAATATTAGAAAATAAAACGGAGGTCTATTTTAATAACCTTAATTAAACAGGTTTTTTTAACTATACAATTAATTTTTTGTTAACTAGATAAGTAGGAAGTAGGCTTTATTGGGGCTTTTGATTACACCATTCAGGGCTATTTAGGGTTATTTGAGTTAGGTTTTAGGGTTTTATTTTGTTGGGAGTTGGTAACACTGGGCAAATTGAAAATTGTCTGTGTCACGTCATCATGAATTTAACACGAGAAAATTTTCGTGCAATGATTTTTTATGACTTTCGATGTCATTTAAGTCAACAAGAAAGTTATGATAGACTACGATTGGCCTTTCACGATGAAGCCCCATCTCGTGCGACTGTTTACAACTGGTTTAATGAGTTTAAACGTGGTCGCACTAATCTCACTGATGATTTACGTGAGGGACGGCCTTCTACGGCGACGACTGAAGATAACATCTGTGTTGTGCGGCGTATGATAGAGACTGACAAAAGAGTGACCTATCAACAGATTCGGACAAGCTTAGGCATCGGTATGAGTCAAGTGCACAAAATCCTCCACGAACATTTAGCGGTCAGGAAGCTTTGCGCCCTGTGGATACCTCATAATTTGACTGAGGCTCAAAAACTCCATCGTGTGGATTGGTGTCGTAAAATGATTGAAAGATTTAACGGAGGTGACTCAAATGCTGTGTTCGACATACTAACAGGTGACGAAAGCTGGATTTACTGTTATGATCCTAAAACCAAAAGACAATCTGCTCAGTGGGTGTTTCCTTTCGAGGAGTTGCCAACTAAAGTGAAGAAAGATCGAAGTGCGGGAAAAAAAATGGTGGCCTCGTTCTTTGGAAGGATAGTTCATTTTGCAACAATTGTGTTAGAGGATCAAAAAACAGTTTCTGCAGAATGGTACACTACCAATTGTTTGCCACTTGTCTTGGAAAAAGTTCGAGAGAAACGACCTCGCAGTAGGATCCTCCTTCACCACGACAACGCCTCGTCGCACACCGCCAAGCGAACGATCGACTATTTGGCGACATCAAACGTTGAATTACTGGGTCACCCGCCGTATAGCCCCGACCTCGCGCCTTGTGATTTTTATTTATTTCCAAAAATTAAAGAAAAACTTAAAGGAAAGCGGTTTATGAATGCTGAAGAAGCGGTGGCTGCGTATTGCGATGCCATTGAAGAGACCCCTAAGGACGAGTGGGCAAAGTGCTTTTCCCAGTGGTTCCATCGCATGCAGCGGTGTATTGACGTGAATGGACAATATTTTGAAAAGATATAATAAAACTAATAACTGGCTAATGTAATCAGTTTTTGATTTTCTAAGAACTTTCAGTTTGACCCTCGTATATTATAATGTTATTTGCAAAGCTATGTTCCTGATTTCGGAAAGTACTACGGCGCATTTGTTGTATGGAATTGCTTCTCTAGTTATTAAATTCATCGACTGAATGATAGTAATCTTAAATTGAATAATTAGTGTTAAGAAATACATATTTTATTAACCACTTAAATAAAAAAATAATAATCTGTAAATATATACCATTTTTAAAGATTGCAACTTTTCTTTATTATATAAAGAAAAATATGAGCTATCCCTATTCAACAAAAGTTACTTTTATGAATCTTTATATTAATTTATATTGTTGCAAAATTTGATAGCTCTCATCTTAAAAATTTACGGAGCTACCGATTTTTGATCCAAAATGCTCTGCCTCCGGCTGCATAAAAGTTTTAAAGAACGTATAAACGCAGCCTGTATCGTAAATAGAACATTTAACAGACAAGCGAAATGTAATTTCTAGACAATTGCTTACTTATGCTCTTGCCCGACGATCATCTTATTAGTAATTATTATCATAAATAAAATCAAGACTCATTGGCACATTTTTATTGTTGAACAATAAATAATGTAATTTTCAATTATAAATTCAATTATAATACAGACTTTACTAGTATAAAAAATGCGGAATTAATGAAACCAGTTTAAAATAGAAGTTAAATGGAACAAAATGCTTGCTTCATAAATTAAATCACAAGTCTTATTTTTAACCCCCGACGCAAAAACGACGGGGTGTTATAAGTTTGTTTAATGTAATAGAGATGAAAAAATAATTGTTAAATAATAGTTCATGACAATTTGGAAGCTTTATTATTTGAACACTGGCCCCAACACTACAAAAAATATTAAAGGCTTAACAGGGATGACAACTGGGTAAAAAAAAGGAATTCTTTTTAGTCCGTAAGTCAGATAATAGAAGAATATTAGATACGTATTTTATTTACTTCAATTTGACAAATAGCTAAAGTTGAAGAGTGGGGGGCTCGTTACCTCACAGTTTTGAAGAAAATGTGCCAAAGAATGACGTCATATGACATTTTAACTCGATATATCTCCGTAATTTAATGATTACGAAATAATAAGTGTTTAATATTTTTTAACAAATCTACCTGACGGACAAACAAAAACAAAAATTAGTCGTCATCCCTATTCTTCCAATTTCGAGAAGCAGAGTGCATATTAAACGAGAAGTCGAATCGTATTAAGCGTTACAAATATGTATATGAAAACTTGTCTCAAGGTTTAATCTTATTTAACGTTATCTTATTAGCGAGTTTTACTGTATTTCATTCAATTGCTTGCTTTAATAGGGTATTTGACACTATTAAAAATAAATTGTGTGTTGTGGTTATCCTGTAAGATAATCTAATCATTTATTTCTTAGAATCTGCAGACAAAATATGTTTAACTTTAGTAAAATCAAGTAAAGGACAACACTTTTATTAAAAATTAATGAACGACGAAAACGCCCTGTAATTTTTTGTCGTCGCAACGGGTTATGTTTACCGGCATGTGACGTCACATGAAAACAGGAAGCTGTCACGTCAAAACAGTGTTATTAAAAATACGCAAAATTTGTATTTATACATACAATTTGTAGCTCATTTTTGAAAACAAAACCAGAGTGGATACAAGTAGAAAACATAAAATTGAACTTCAATTTCTCTTCTGTAACACTATTGGTTTACTTCGTAAATAAATAGTTTATAAATAGGTTATTTCACCTTGACATATTTACCGACGTGTGATCAGCGCCATTACATAGAGGAACCTTTTTTTGCGTTATTATGGCTATTTAAACTTTAACAATTATGTTTATCAGAACAGATTCCCATGAAACATATTGACAGTGTATTTATAATGTATTCTGTATTAATATTATTTAAAATAGGTATTTTACACACCTATTACATCAATGATATTACTATAAAAAGGGTAGATAGGTTACTTGAATTCAAAAAATGACATCTTAAAACTATGCTAATTAGCATACTTGTGCTCAGTCTGGCGAAAGTGTTGATTGTAATCATTTAAAAATGTGTTATGTGTTATGCGAAATTTGAGAAACAACATAAGTAAGCCGTCTAAAGACCAAGGGGTCACATTTCAGTCGTAAGTATACATTTTAATTGATTTGCGTTTTAATCAGAAAAATTAATAATGTGTTATAAAAAGAAAGAGTAAATACTGCAGTTATAAGTTGTGAAAAAGATCTGTCAAAGATTATGGAAGTAAGAGAACGGACAAGGAGAAATAATAATGTTAAATATCAACATTTTGAATTTGCACTGTTGATCGAAGTCTTTAACTCGTTAAAGTAAAATAGGCATTAAATATGCATTAAATCCGTCTGATTTGTGATATATTCAATTAAAGTTTATGAATAATTGTAGAGTATTATGCTATGTGCGTGTGCGACACTTTTTGACATCGTATTAATACGGACATGACATATCTACTATTTTTTAATCAAGTTTTATACAAAAATATTAACAATTGGCGAGTTATTAAAATTTAAAAATGATTTGGCGCTTTAGGATCCATTCAAACTTTCAACCCTTATTTCCGCCCCCTTCTGGGTAGAATTTCAACAATTGTTAAAATTTTACTAATTTGTATTATCATTAGCGTAAAGTTTCATGTTTCCAATTTTAAGTGACGGATTTGGTCATATGCGTCAGACAGAAATGCGCCGACGTACTATACGCGCCGCTATATTATATTTTTAAGAAAAGCAGTCCTAAACATTGATATGTCTTATTAAAAATTTTGTTAAAGTATTGACGCCAGTGTGCCTATAATCAGCTTCATAACAATAGAAAAAAAAAATACATTAACTTACAACCATATTTTTTACAAGAAATCACTCATAGTAATCCAACAAAAAAGTTAATATTAAAATAAATTCGGCTTCCACAGATAAAAACAAGTGAAACACGCACATATAAAAAACGAAAAATAAATATAACATATATATTTTTTTATTTACAAAAATTTATATTATTATCTCCTTACTCATACATCAAGTTGGTACAAAAATTTATTTTTAATTTCAACTAAACTATTTGGTTCCACACTGCCGTAACTATAGTGATATAGATATGAACCTTTTTTGTCAAAACAATACTTACTTATGCCATTGCCTTATAATGGTACTTTGATATAAACAAAATGCAGTAATATCTCAGCGCAAGTAAAATAAACGTTGCATAACACGTTATATTTTCTACAATCAATTTTAAGCCTTAATGCGATGATAGTTAAATTCTAAATTGATTGAAGAAATTTGCCATTTTTTGCCTGATATACTGCTGCATATATTATGTTGAATTCTTTTTACAGCCTCCAGTACAAAATATATCAATCAGGTTAAACCTGTTGAAGCAGTTAAACTATTAACATTAACAATAAAATAATCTACTAAAACCTAAACAGTGATATTATAAAACAATTATAAAGTTAGTACTTACTTTAAACCATTGTCCACCAAAAGCAAATCGACAAGAAAACCACAAATTGAGATGTATTGACTTTATATTGTCAAATAATGGTTTAATCCTGGTACTAAAGTTACTCTTCATTTTATAATAACACGGAAAGAGTTCTTGTCTAGAATGTCTCAAATGTATACTTAATTATTTGACAGAGGTAAAATATTGTGTATTTATTTTCGAGTCCACACTCTGTTATTGTGTAGTTTTCTTTATCATAGCATGGGTATAAAGTGTTTGAGCCCAAACGGAGTTATGCAGTGTGGGATTAGGCTTCCATCTCAAAAGAATTTCTTCGCTTGAGCTTCTTTTCTTTCTCTGAAAAAAATTAAATAAAAACAATATGTCGTTTAATTTTAAATCTTTACTTAAAAATAAAAATTCTGTTTCAAAGCTATCTATCTAATACGTGAATAGAACTATTTTGAATTTATTATAAAAATTAGTGAACATATATGAAAAGAGCAAGACAGCTAGCAAACAATGTGGCAAAGTTAAAATGTCTTTTCTTTCAATTAACTTTTTAAAAGCACTTTTCATTTAACCTACATGTTAAATTATCGTTCAATTAACTTTTTAAAAGTACTTTTCATTTAACATGTAGAAATATTTAGTACTATCTATTTTCACCGACTTCAAATTGTATCCTATGTCATGATAACTAAATAAACATCATCAATCCTTTAATGTCTCCACTGCAGGGTCCCCAAAGATGTTCATAGCCCACGCTGACCTAATGCGGATTGGGGGGTAATAAAGATTGCAACAGCTGCCGGGATCAACCGCATAACGTGCCTTCCAAAGCATAGAGTAGCTCGGGATAATAGTTTTAAGTTTTATGGTCACCCATCCCGTGACCGACCTTTGTTAAAGTTTCTGAACAACAACGATCGCGGACCGTGGCGTTTTATCACTACGCCATCGTGGTACTCCTATATAAAAAAATAAATGATAATTAGATATACTTACTTGTACAAAGAGTAGAAGAACATAATGGTTAGTTGTGAGGCTATCACCACCAGTAGACCCGTGAAACTGACACAAGACACGTTCGGACAATTCAGCTGCGACGGAGCAGCCACTTGAGGTGCCACCGTTAACCTGGAAAATAGGGTAGTTTCGGTATTGTCACGAAATTGGACAAAAACTAAAATTTTAATCGTAATAAACATACATTCGGATATCGAATACTAAAATCGCAAGATTATCTTAAAATGTCATAATTAAAAGTCGTAATTTTTTTGTCTCTCTCACGTGACATGTAACACGATCCCTCCATTGTGCAACGCTACTGTGACGACAACTATATGCTTAATAATTATAAATCGAATTCCTAGATGGCGTTGTTCTTAGCTTATTTAAATATCGATCGTTAGATGGCACTGTTAATCTTCTACTCTATGCATCTGTATTGTGTACATATCATAATGACGTCATGAATATGACGGACAGAAGTTTTCGTGGGTATAAAAAGTTTAAATTTTGATTTCATTTTAAGGCAAGAAATAATGTTTATTTTTACGAAATATTTGTTATAAGGTTTTTGAAATTAAAATAAATAGCTAGAAGTATTATTTTAAACAGACTAGATTACCCTATTGTCAAATTAACAGCATTTTTCATATTAACTGACAGGGCATGTCAAAATGAAATTGATTTTAACTGGATTCGGCCGTCCACAAATGCAATCGCAATTTCAATGTTCATCAAATTATTTTCAACCTGTTACAAATTAAAAAAGAAAAGGGCATTTGGTTACTTAGTCATTTAGTTATTCGAGAATTTGGGGTATTAATCTTCAAATATGTAAAAAAATATCTCTAATGAATATCAATGACAAGTAATTCATCAAAAATTGCAGATAGCTTTGCATTCATACTAACTGTTTTTGTTCTATTATTTGTGTTTATGAGAAAACTTCATTATTTAATTTGAATTACACAATAATTTCATTCCCGATTATAGGTTTAACATAATATTTAGTATCAAAGATATTATTTCTAAATATTATACGTTAAAAGATCTGCCAATTGAAATTTTTTTACTTGCATCTTTGTACCGCTAGCGCCATATTTTTGTAAATTGAAATAAAATATTTGTGGATATGGTAATATCTAACATAGTAGTTTACAATAAGATAAGTTTTTTATTTACCTCTGCGCCACACCGGCGACTGCTTGCTTGACTTGTGTTATAGAATCCCTCATTTCACTGAGGAATTGGGGGTTTATGGCCCCTGCCCCTGCCGCGGCGCCCCCGCCCGCTGCTATTAACGCGTCTGATTTACGTGACACTTCAATAATGAACCCTCTGCAAAAGGAAATAAAATACACTTTCCAAACGGATAATTCTATATATGATTCTGGATAAATAAATTTCATTTAAATGTTGCATTAGATTATATAATAGATTTGAATATAAAGAACTGATCTGAACTGAATAGTTTAAGATCTGGTAAAAGATAAATAATATATTTTATATATACGTCGAAAAGTTGTCTTAAAATTTGCTAAAAGCATACAAGGAGGGTATGCTAACTATTCTTATCCGACGCTTTCCTAATTATAAAATTATTTTTAGTGGTATAGGATAATGAAATTATTTATTAAACTACCATCAAATTCGATAATACTGTCTTTGGCAAAATGAATACTAATAAAAACGCGATGACTACTTATATTATTACTATTTTTTTATATATAAGTTACGTGAATAAAAAAACCTTAAATTCATATACAATAAAGGCATAAGAGATACAGGAACTCTTTTTGATTATGGTAACATAACTCACTTGAGTTCTGCAATAGTATTGATCATTAGCTGGTTGTTGGTCACTAATGCATCCCAATCATGCCGTCCTATAGGTAGTCCGGGTATCTATATAAAAACAGACAAATAAAAAAAATAAAAACAGTGATGGGTAAGAACCAGTGCTGTTAATTATATTCACGTTGCTTTCCTATTTTTTAAGCTAGTAAAATTAGGGTATGAAGGTTATAAAGCGCAATAATAAACTATAGTAAACTTATGATATCCTGTACCCCGAGATAGATAATCAGTTTTTGTTAATATACCTACGGTTTGTTTAACTATTATTTTAATGTATATTAAATAGCACTCGGCTGTCGTTTCTGAGTAAATCAGCATTGACTGATAGACATACTCGTCATGACATGGATTGAGTTTTTAACGCCCGACGCAAAAAGGGGTGTTATAAGTTTGACGTGTCTCTGGGTGTATCTATCTGTCTGTCCGTAGCTCCCGTACAGATGAAGCGATAACAATTTAGTTTTATTTTGTATTAAAGGTGGCTTAAGTGCAAGTGTTCTTAGATATATTTGATCAAAATCAGTTGAGCCGTTTAAAAGCTGTCGGGGCTTTTAGTAAGAAGTAGTAACCAGAAGTAATCAAATGTCTGTAAATATACTCGAGTGGGGTCTCAAACGAAAGCCCACTGAAACAATATTGATGACTAAATCGAGTGTTCTTAGCCTAACCATTCCAAAGCTAACAATTTAATACGTGCCTTTGTGTGTATTTTTAACTTTTTAAAAGGAACTTAGGTTTTTGTGTGTGGTGTCTTAAATTTTTGTTTTAGATGCAGAATCCAAAATTATTAATATAATTGGATTTTACTTTTTACCTGTGCAGGCTGCTGTCCAGGTTGTACTGGCTGTAACGGTTGTCCTTGCGTGTGACTGTATACTGCACTTAATAATGATAGTGAGTTTGTTTGTTTACCGATCACCTGTAGAGAAAAAAAAGCAAAAGAATTTAAATTGTAATATAAATTAGTTAGTAACTTTATTCCACTATATTGCTAAGGTAACAACTTCAAAATAACAAAAGTATTTTCAAGTAATTCAAAAAAGATTGCGAATAAAATCACACGACAATTCTAAGAAGCAGAACAACAGTCAGTTATTTTATTGCACATCTTTTTTTAAAAAAAAGCTCTTAAACCATCCTTTGCTTTATAATACCCCACTGTTGTTCCCAATATCTGTTGATCATCTTGTTTGTAGATTCTTTAATATAAAATTCTGTATATTATTAATTTATAGTTTTTAATGTTACGTAGTGGTAAAGATGAGACACTTGTTTATTGTTGATGCCATGTTCTGCTTATGGTATATTAAACTTTGATACCACGAGTAAATACACACCTACTTTTATATTATAACTTTATCACTTTATGACTACTATATTGTTAGTAATAAGGATTACCTTCCAATCACACCATAGTTCTTAAATAAATATTCAAATGGTCAGTTGTGACATTTTTTTATTTTTCGTATCTGAATATACTTATCGGAGAATAGTATATCTCAGAATCTCACCAACTAATCTGTACTGGGCCTGCGTGATGGGTCATGGCCCATTATCCCTTTTCGTTTCCATTCATAAGGAAGGCTTCAGCCCCAGCAGAAGGGGACATTAATAAGCTGGAGATGATATATCAGAAGGAATAAAGTATTAAAACTATAATCTTTTGACTTACCTCATCAACTTTCTTGTTCAAATCCCTCAAGGTATCTTGAAGCGACATGACTCCCTGCCATATCTGACGGAACTCCCTCTGACCGTCTGATTCGAACCAGTCCTCGAATTCGTCTTTATCACGCACCTATTAAAAAGGAAATTATAATTTAAATATAAAAAATGTATCATAATAGAATATAAGAACCACTTTTATAAGTTACATCAATGCACCTGCGCAGAATTTTCATTTAGAATAATAATTTATAATAATGTAAATGAAAATCAAGATAATGTTTTAGCCAATAGCGTAACAGCATTTGCGCGCGAGTCACGTTTGTTTGGCATTAGTGGATGTGTGCGTGCCATGTAAATGTAACACGTCTCGATAGTTGTATGTTGTACTATAAATGTATCACTTATCGTAACGTATTAAAGTCTATGTTTCAAGGGTATTGGTATTTCTATGTCAACGAAAGTTTGGACTTTTCTACACAATCCTAGGGTAATGTTCGCCAAAAGGCTCTTGGCTATAAAGTGACTAGCATATTTATCAATATTCTTGATACCAAAACAATTGAAAGTTACGTCATATTTGGAGAATACGCCTTCTTAAGTATGCTTACCTCATCAGGGTGTTCTTTTTTATAGTCGTCTTTTTGCTGTTGTAATTTCTGTTGATATTCTTGGTATTCTTGTGCAAGTCTCTGCTGTTCATCAGCGCTCATCTGCTGCCCAGCGCCTGATAAATAAATAACGTCAAAACAATTAATTATTTTTATCAACATGTAAGTAAATAAGACTTTGCGTTGCTATAAAAACTGAAGGACGATGTGCATTACTCGGCTTAAAGACGCGAGAGCTCGTGACAAAAATGTGCCAGAGCTTTGGAAAGCTTGATATTTCAGTATGTTCAAGTAATAAGGGTACCTATAAATCACTCAGTACCCAGTGCGGATGTCAGCTGTTGGAATACCTGGTGGTGGTGTTTCGAGAAAAACTTCTAACGATCGCTGAATTACATTTTTTCCATTCAATGAAGGTTTGAATATTTTCTTTTGTAACTACTTACGTAAATTTCTAGTAATACATTAACTTTCAACCACTATGAAACTCTTTTCGGAGCTCATTCTCACACCAATTTCCTAAATCTAATGAGTAGTAACGTTTCACGATTGTACAATCTTCGCTAAAATAGGTTATTCATTAATTTTAAACTATTAAAACGCACTGGTGAATCATTATATTGCTTTTAATATCATTTACATTTCAAACATGAGTTTTCGCTTAGAATGAAACGCACCTCTTAGTTGAAGGTAATGAATTTTCAATATTTTTCTACCTACCCTATTACTATCTATAAAACCCTAGACTGATTGACATTTTGTTACTTCTTCATTAATTCTCGTACTGTGAGAACTGAAAATAAGCAGATACGGTTTCACGTAGTCTCATGAAGTCATCCATTAAGTGAGTAACGTTATTTTCGCGTCACGGTAGCGTAAAATCAACTGAAATGGCTTCATACCAAGACGAAATACAAGACAGGACAACTGTTTTCTAGAGCCCGCTATACATGAACAAAGCTGCGTCATACAGGTCAGTCAGCCAGTAATTTCGTTTTCACCATCAAGCACCTTCAATATGTGTTAAAATTTTCCGTAATTTACACAAATACATTGCCCCGCCGCCACCAGGTGTTCCTAAACCTGACCTCCGCACTAAGTAAAGAGTGTCCTTAGTACTTCCATATACTTAAATATCAAGCTTTCGAAATCTTTTGAACATTTTTGTCACGACCTCTTAGACTATTATGGGGGATTGAATTATTCATATTCACCGAATGGTGTATTCATACTAATAGACATGTTTAGTTGTTAATAATGATTATGATAATAACTTACCCTGTTGTTGCGTACTGTGCAGGGAGGTGGTGAGGAAGTGTATGACGTCATGGTCGTCAGCCAGCCCGCCTGTAGCGGCGGACAGACCGAACAAACCACCCCGAGGTAATATAACGTTCTCGCTGCGGAAACACAACTCGTAGTCTGCTTCGTTATTGGTCATACCTGTTAAATTAAATAAGTAATTATAAATATACATAATCACTAAATAATGTGCATAACTAAAATTATTATCGGCTGGACTGTCTTAAAAAGAAATTATATGCTTGACTCAATTTCAATAATTTATTATCTTTTTTTTTATTAAAACAATGTATTTAATTTTTTTTTCACATTTAAAAAAAATATGATTTAGATTCCATTAATGAGTTTTTTGTATGCTATTTGGAATGGACAAAAATGAACTTTTTTTAAATAATAGTTTAAGGCAAATAATAGTAGGTAGTAAATACTTACTTCACTAGATATTATTTGAAATGAATTTTTCAACATTTTATTGTACTGTCGTCACATATACATAGATAATCTTGGTGTTGCAAAAGTCATAGAGCATTGGAAATCATGTCTTTATTTTTTTTATGATATACCTGAACATGCCCTTAATATTTTTTTTAAAATAGCCTATTTACCACATGATAGTTATGTTTTTATTTTGACATTCACTTTTTAGTGCAATAACTTACCATTATGGAAGTACACTGTGAGTGTGTTCATATAATACTCGATGCGAGCTCTCGTGGGGAAAGGTTTGTTGCGGAAGTCTCGGAGACAGCCAGATAATAATTGTTGAGAACCATCACTATAAAAACAGACGCAAAATAGTGGATTAATTATCAATGATCAAACAAATAAAGATACAATTTTGTTTAGAATATTTTTATGTCATACTCATTGAAAAGCAAATAAGTGCATTAGAAACTCGTTAGTTCTGTTGGAACGGTTTTGGGTTCGAGTCCCATCTCGGGGCATCTGTGACTGGTGAATTTTTTAAGCATTTTTCATTAAGATATTTGTGATGATATTCGGCGATTCGGTGATTCCTATTCGCTCATTCGCTTATAGCCGAACGACAGAAATATTGGAACAACATACTCTATTAATTGTCCTATCAATTTTTTAAGGCGAATAAAGCAGCCACCAAAAGTCTACAGTCTAAAACTTACTGTAAACAATGACGGCACAAATAGGTATATGCTGTATTAGACTTATTCAACCAAATGTATATCGATTTCAGTAATTAAGTAAAATGGCAGCATATATTAAAAAAAAAATCAATTACGTTTCAAAAAAGAACGCAAAAAAAATTTTCAAGTATTGCCGTTTTATTTTCCTCATATTTATATAATAACTAGCTGTAAATGCGACTGCGTCCACGTGTAAAGTAGCCTACGTTATTCCTTATTTCATAAGCTATAATATACCAGTGAAAGTCCCGTCACAATCATGCCAGCCATTTCAGAGATTAACATAGAGAAAAAATATATTTTGGTATATGTACTGTGTACATAGGTATATATGCATTTATTAAAATGCAGTTATGGTACAAAATTTTATTTAATTTAATTTTTTTGTTTTATTTATTTGTTTAGATGTTTTATTACCTCTTATGATCGAAGACTTTAGTTCCGTCGTTTAGAACCGCCATAATGTAAGGGTTGTTGTGTTTATTATCGTTATCGAACGAATCAAAGATAATCCCCAGACCATTCCAGCGGTCCGATGAACCGAACACATCTCCTGTGTAGTCACCACGAGTCGTCGTGTACCAGAAAGCCTGGGAAATAAGATTATTTATTTATGAAGACTGCATCATCAATAAAGTTAATAAAACATCAGGTGATACAAAACTTAGTACAATAATTATAAAGAAATTAAGTGCGGATCTATTTTACATTTGGTGGAAGTTGAATTTGCTGCTGTCACAGTGCAACTCTTTGTACCTTTTATCTAAAGCATTTAATAATTTCATTGTAAGTGATTAATCATACAGTGCAACGAATATTTTTGCAACCGATATTGGATATACTTTGTATCTAAAACGAAACGTAAAATCTGTGGGGCGCTTTGATCCGAAGTTTGCCAAGTTGAAATGTATTAGTGGTAGTTTTCGAAAATTGACACAAATCAGTAAATTTTCGTCGTATATTCTTCAATGTAAATGCAAGATAGACAATACAGTGACAAAATTCAATTTATTATGACGCCATTCAGATTATTACGTAAATATTGGCAGAATCTAGGCCCAGATTAACCATCAGCAGACCAATCAGGATTAGTCTAGTAATAGAACAAACTAATCCTGATTTACCCTCCAATCCGCATTGGGCCAGCGTGGAGGGTCATGGCCCATCCTCCTTAACCATCCATAAGGAAGGCCTGAGCCCCTGCAGTGGGGACGTAAAAGGGCTGGTGATGATGAATCCTGATTGGTCAGATAATCTGCTGAAGTCACTTACCAATCCGTCAGCCCCTATCCTTCCTCTACCGGTGACTTTAAACATGATGTCCACCTCCCACCAATCGAAGTTAATCGGGTTCTTCGCCCAGATAGCACCCTTCTGGCTACGGAGCGATGGGGCGAGCCGAACATTCTCGCTCGACGCGATGGCATCTGTGAATAAGATGACAATATTATGTAAAGTGGCAAAACTGCTTCACACGCTGATTGTTTCAAACAGCAGACACGTCCCAAGCTATGGCAAACACCCAACACGAAAATGCATCCCCAGACAAGTATAGTGTATTTTGTCCATCCTTCGTTTCGTGCTGAAAACTGACTGAGGTTACAGAAAGTATTAGGTTCTTTCATGGGTCAATGTATACAGTACTTTAACAAGATCCCCAGTGATGTATTAGATTTACCAATAAACCATTTAGAAGTCGTATTAAAAATTGTCTACAAAGTAAAGGATATTATACTGTTAAGGAATATCTGAATGACAAAAAGGCATGGTATTAGATATTTTAACTTTATTGTATTTAATTTCCATGTGATGAAAGTGACTTCATATTCTAATGAAGTCACTTTTCAATAAGACTTATCTGTGTGAAATAAAACAGGGAGAAAAAACAGCCCTTGCTGAGTTTCTTGCCACTTCTTATCAGTACAAGGTCTCTCGCCGTAGTTTTGCGAACCAATGGTTTAGTTTTCGACTTTTACAAGAGCTCTGTAAAAGCTTAAACTGAATAAACAATTTTGATTTTTGACACTGACACTGCTAGTCAAGCACAAAAGGGAAACATCGCCCACAAACAAAACTGCAAACGTCTATCTATATGTCTCTGTTACTTGTTTCACAAGCTTTTACGTATTAATACCTGAGCATACTCAACAAATCAACTGAGTTCATGATATGTAATGATATATAAATGAAAAACTAAGTGAAAAGGTAAGAAAGTATTTTTGTTTCATTCAATTCTTTTTCCTACCACCCATTCCAGACTTCTTTTAGCTGACATGATTATTACACTATTCAAGAAAGCTGATCATATGTTTAAATTGGTCTATGTAAACAAAAGTTTAGCTCATATTTTAGCTAATAATTATCACTCAAGGTTGGGAGTGATAATTATCTTGCCATATAAGTAAAATTAGACAACTCATTAAGGAACTTACCCATAGTTGAATAATTCAGGTATTAATTTCAAGTAAATTATTATTATCATGTCATTAAAACCCTTGGGAAAGTCATAAAAGATATTGATTGTGTAATATGATAAACATAGATAGATTTATAAGCATAGTAAAATGTTTACAACTTAGATTAACAAAGATAAAGCGGCTACCAAATTGGTACCTAGATTAGGTTGGTAGTCATTCAAATGTTATCTTGAAAAAATAGTAAATACTCTCAAAGACAAACTTCTTGGTTGATAAATGAAACAATCAGCCACATTATCCCCATGTCCCTCATCAGAGCAGTAAAATGAAATAAAAGCCTCCATAGCAAAGTAGCAAGTATGCAGTTTCTAGATATTACTATCTCTGAGGCTCCCGCTTAATTTAGAAAATAAATATTTGTGTTATGTCTTCAGTTTGGGTGTAAAGGTAAAACCTTTGTTATTTCAGATTTCCATAAAACAAGTGCTTTAGTAACTGATTTTGGGATCTGAGCAATGTATGTGATGTTGTCTAATATTTATTTATTTATCTTATATTTGAATAACAAGTGACATAAGAATTCTGACAATTTAGGATGTGCTGAAATGGGGATATATTTTCATGCTAACAAAACCAAAATTCTTAGTGTTCAATGAAAATTAGCTTTATAGTCTCGAGGATGCAAAGAAGTATTAAAACAATCCATGTAGTGACGAGTCAATGTTTATTTTGTATGAATCAGTATATATCATAGTAGTGTAATAAAGCAATAATTGCAAAGCTCCTATTTTAGGAATAGGTAACATGAACTTTTATTCAGCAACCACACTAGGATTTCTGTATATTTTATCAATACATTATTAAACGAAAGGAACACCTCAAGTGTTAACAACTGTAACAATCAATTGTTTATTAAAAAATTCATAAACGAATATGTATGATAATTAAAAAAGGTATTATCAAAAGTTTGGTTTGTAAAACAAGTGTTGAATGCATACATATTTACACCTTAAAGTCAACGGAATAATAGCACTTATGTGGTTACATGTTAAGTTAACACACTAATTAGTTCCACATTATGCTTGCTTTTGTATTCTGAATCTTAAATTAACATAATGTTAAGTTTCAATTTCGAAGGACCAAAATAAAGAAACATTCTTATTGCATGAAGCATGTTTAGGTATTAAAACAGAAATAATTATGTTAAATAAATTATACAATTTCACTATTTCTTATTATTAAGCCAAAAATAACATGGTAATCTAAAAATAAGAACACATACAATCAGGACAAAATAATTAATTAGGAATTTGAGACTTAAAAGAAAGCAGAATGAGCGTTATTGCTAAATTTTAAATACATTTTAATGACATACATTCTTGAAATAGGGTAATTTGCTAAATCGGCAAATTTAAAAAGTACGCAAAGCACTGCCATCGTGGAAGCGAAAAAACACGATTTTTTGACAAGATTCTATCCCTTTCACACATATAGTCATCACCGAACGTCCGTCCCTTTTTAACGTGACAAGTTTCACTGACGTGTCGCTGTCAGCATAAAACCACCTAACAACAATACGGTTTTATTATTTTTATTTAACATTTCTAAATTAAAATTTACGTATTTTAACTTTAAAAGAACAGTGCGAAGTTTAGTATTACCTTTAAATAAGCGAAGAAGGTCTAAACAACAGCTTAATAAGAGAAAAATGGGTTATACTCACTGCCTCCGTACTCCCAGAATGGAACTGATCCGTCTTTTTGTGCTAAATAGGGGGGCTTGAAAGAATATTTATATTCAAATCGTCTGTGCACTGTCTGCGTATTAACAAGCACTAAAATACTTAAAATAAATCCACACACAAGCAAATTTAAATTTATCGAGGACATCGCGACCTGCGAAGTGAACACCGCACACGTCAAAAAATTTGTTGATTGCGACTAGTGATGCTGTACGTAATGTAATGTAGTTGATGGCGTCCGATACAATCGGTAATGTCTCGATTTCTTTTTGTAGCATCTTTGAAATATATTTGATTAATTTAATTGATTAATTAATATTCGTGAATAATTTAAAATTCAATCTAAATGCCTCTATTTCGATTTTAAGCAAGATAAAAAGTAACTTCTCAGGTAACTAATTATCCAGGCTATTTGATTAAGAAACTGTTAAAAATTGATGATTTTTTTAAATCAAACTATACATAGGTACATTCAACAGTACGCCAGGTTATACAAATCTGTTAAGTAATAGTTTAAAATCAAGATATTATCTTAATACATTGAGCGAGGAATTGTACCCTCGTAATATGTAGAAAAATTATCTAGAACGAAAATTCTACATATTTTAGTAACAGGATGTACGAGTACTGTAAGTATATTGAAATATTTGTATCAAATGGCAAATAATCTGAAAAGTTGACAGTAGATGGCAGTCCCCAGAGCTAATTTTTGGGGATATCATAGAAATATTATGGGAGTTATATAGTTGTCATTTGATCATGGAATGTCAAGGCCATAATAATAACATTAAAAGGTGTTGTAAACTTTGTGCGTAATCAAAATATTTCTTGTATTTTTTTTTACTTATTAGAAAATTAAAAATGCGTCTAAGAATATATCAGGTATTATAATTGTGTGTTAAGATTTTTGGTTATTTAATATTCGGAAGTGAATCGGGTAATAATCGAATGAATATTACATCTATCACAAAGCACTGCCCTGGTCATGGTCAAGTGACAGCTGTCGTGCACCATTACTTTTAATCTTTTTTTCGAAGCAAAGACAAATTGTCCATGCAGACTTGTCTTTTAATACTACGACATGTGTTTCAATTTTCTTTCTAATGTTTTATAAAAGTGAATTGAATTTCGAAATTGAATCGATAATTTTTAATTGAATTTCGAAATTTAGTACATTGTTCATTTTTGGCTCATCGCATTTACTTTGATAACGGAGTTTGGTTTCAGTTTTTTAATATATTACTTGTTTTAAACGTAGGAAACGTAAATGAATTCATTTCGATGTTATCGTTTCCGATATCTATGGGTCCAAATATTATCGTCATGTGAGATTTATATTTATTAAAAAAAAAACGAATTTCTTGTATTTAAAGGTATAAACTGTAAATCAGGTTATACAAAAATGATAAATTTCTTCATTTGATTTTAAACCTTAAAATATTGCAGTAATTTTAAACCTTAAAATATTGCGGAACAAGGAGAAATTACATATCGTCGGGGATAGTGCAAAGCCGCGAATCTACCACAGGTAAAGGCCGCGTATCTGCATTTAATCTAGTTTTTCACGGGAAGGTTAAAACTTTTTAACTTCGTTATTTTAAGGGCAATTTGGCTCATTTTTATATATAGAGAAATAATCGATGTTTTCTATGTATTTTTGCCATAGATTATCCGTTACAATGATTATTTTGACCCCCACGCTATTTACGCGGATTTGATTTGACCACAGTCTTATCAAAATGGAACTTAACATGTAAGTTGCGCGGTTTTGAAATTAAACAGGTAGTTAATGTTACAAATCATCATCATCATCATCATCATTTCAGCCGAGAGACGCCCACTGCTGGGCATAGGCCTCCCCCAAAGATCTCCAAAACGATCGGTCCTGCGCTTCCCGCATCCAGCGGCTTCCCGCGACCTTCACCAGATCGTCGGTCCACCTTGTGGGGGGCCTGCCAACACTGCGTCTCCCGGTACGCGGTCGCCACTCCAGGACCTTACCGCCCCAACGGCCGTCAGTCCTGCGAGCGATGTGCCCTGCCCACTGCCACTTGAGGTTTGCAATTCTGTGGGCTATGTCGGTGACTTTAGTTCTTCTGCGGATCTCATCATTTCTAATTCGATCTCGCAAAGAAACCCCGAGCATAGCCCTTTCCATTGCCCTCTGAGCGACCTTGAGCTTCCTTATGAGGCCCATCGTAAGCGGCCACGTCTCAGCACCGTAAGTCATCACTGGCAACACGCACGAATTAAAGACTTTTGTCTTGAGACACTGTTTTGACACTTGAGACAATGTTACAAATAATATTTAATAATTAAAGCAAAATACGACTTACAAAATCAGATCTTTATAACCTTTTGAGCATTGTTCTTACAAAGGAAACTTATTTATTAATCAAAGTATTTTTCTATACAATTTCCCTTAACTATTAACTTAAAATATCAACAGCACTTTTTTATCAGTCTTGGGTTATTTATCAGCCTTTTCAATAATTAAGGGTTTTATTAGATAGTATAGACATCACAAGCTTAAATCTTTTCAAAGTTTATAACAAAAACAAGAGCTTCAGCTATATAACAAAAATATCAATCAATAATTTTAAAAACAAATTACTCTTACACATTTAAATTATAAAAAAACAATATTAGGTTCTTCAGCTATTTAGCAAAAATAAACTTTATCTCTCAGTAATTTTAAAAACAAATAACACTTATATATTTAAATAAAAAATACTTATTAGCAAAGTTTTTCAGCTATCTAACAAAGACATTTTGAATTATTAATTGTCCTTATAAGGTAAATTGTCATAGAATTCATGACAATCTACGGGTATGACACTTTTTAATTGCTGTAAATGTTCATACTTTGATTTTGTGATTGGCAATTTCTCAGTAAAGAGCTGTGGTGGAATAAATGGACCAATCTTTTTTGGCCTTTGTGGTAACGGCTGAAATTCGTCATTGTAGTTCAGTTTGTATTCGATTGTTCCATTGGGATTGTACTTAAGAACTCAAATGTCCACTACGCACTTTGCGCCAGTTCCTCTTCCAGGGCGGATTGTATCGTAAATATGATTACTTTTGATGCTATGATCCTTGAAAAAAGTGTGGTCAACCGTTACTACTTCATATGGAGATGGATTCAGCCTAGCTTCTTTAGTAACTGAAGAGTATTGACTAGGTAAAAATATTTCCCGGTGTTTTAACTTTCTTTCAATTACGGAGTGAACTGAATCCACCTCCATTTGAGTATGGCATTTTTCTAAAAATTTTTGAGTGATTACCACATTTTTTTCCATTGCCAAGTGCAGAAGGGCGTTCGAAACTACAACATTTCTATTTTGTGAGGTACAGCCATCAGTGAAAATTACGACGTTTTTAGGACTTTCTTCTATGATTTTCTTCAAATAATCGACAAAAAAGGAAGCGTACGTTGATGCTTTTAAATCTGATGCTGTCTCATCAAACCAATAGCACTTCATGTCATTAGTACCCAGATTGTATACTGTAAAATTATGAACCATCAACTTTGTTTTAAAATACAATGCACTGGCTGTCAAAAATGGACATAATTTTACAGCTTGTAAATCAGCTGTTACTACGTGAAGCATTCCTTTTTTTGCAGCCTCTTTATCTGAAGTCTTTTCCTGTCTTGCTAAATCTTTTCGTGATACATGTTGTTGATATATTTCCTCAGTGATATTGCCAGCTTTATATGAGCAACATAGATCACATGCGTCTTTTTTTGGTTGAAACAAAGCTATGTTGTCATCTTTCAAAACATCCTCGAAAAGTTTTCTGGAAGCTACTTTGTGTCCACTTTTTGTTGCCTCTTTAACATAAATACGAAAGAGTTCACGTTTGGACTGTATTATGGGTTCTAAATAGAGTTTTGTACTGTCTTTCCTACAGTAATGAGAAGGCATTTTGGGCATAGCTCTTAAAAATATTTGTACCAACTCCTTCAACTTAGGCATTGCAACATCTCTCTGGCCTATAGTCGATTCTTTATTTGGTTTCTCTCCTAGCCAGTACCTTACTGTCCACTCCTTAATTCCCAATGTTCCTAAAAACGTCTTTAAGCATACTCTCATTTTTTGGTCAGTTAATTTTAAATAATAGACTTTTGACGCACTTCGTCTTGTATCAGCCCTTCCAGTGGTTTTCCTTTTAGTTGTTTTTCTGTCCACTAAAGATGAAACAAACATTTTCTTCTCTGGCCAAGTCATCTTCCAAAATTCGTTAAAAATATTTATTCGTACCGTTTCTGTAAATTTATCGCAGTTAAATACTTTGCTATTTAAACATTTGCTTGACTTACAAAGTTGTCCAAGTTGTCGCGCAGGTTTGATAGAGTCTTGTAAAAATTTTTCATCTTCAGTTTTTCTAAAACCTACATATTCTTGACCCAACATTCTTAACGTCTTGTTTCTTAACCTTTTCGTAGACATTACGTCTGCTTTTCGTTTCCTTACTCTAGACTCGATAGCCACCTCACGTTCCAAAATTGTTTCAGGAAACAAATTATTATTGCTGTCAGTTGATGTTGAAGCTATAGGTGCAACATTAGTAATTTCAGAGAGTGGACAGTAATTTGGGTCGGCAAGAGAATCATCTGATGAAAAATCAAAATCTAATTCACTTAGTTCATTATTGATTTCAGTGCCTAATTCCTCTTTAGAAGCGTTAGATACCAAATTATTCATTGAAGCTATAGTCAGGCCAGAAACATTGTCATGATCATTAATCTCCAGCTGATTTTCTAAGCAAATAGCTCTAAAAGTGGTTGTGTCACAATAAGCTAAAGATTCAGTTTCTTTAGCAAGATCCTCTTGGTTCTCAGAATTAACAAGACTGGTACTAGATAAGTTTTTAGAAAACTCTTTGGTATTTTCATCAGCAGCGATTTGATTCGATTGCCTACGCAACATGTTTTTTTTAAGCTCCAATAACTTGTCGCGCCTTTTCTTTAAATCCATTAATGTTACGACGTGAAGTGTTTCGTCTTCGCTACATGGCTCATTCGCCATTTCAATGCTGAAAATAAAAATAATTTAATCAAGTGCATCTGAATAATACGTAAATTACGCGGTTTTACTATTCATTATAGTAAGATTACATTAACGGAAAGCAAAACCGCGTAGCTACATAAAATGTGTAAATACAGACAAAGCAACACTTGGTTTATATAATTCGGTGATCTGTTTCAATATTAAAAGTATTTATAAAGACTTGATATATTAGGCACGTTTATTTTTATAATAATGGGCAGTTTGGTCAAAAATGTTAGTTTAGGAGTAGATGAAGTAAAAATGCATTTAAATGAATCTTAAATCTTAACATTTCACACGGAAAATAGTTAATCAACATTGAATCAACACTTACCTGATATTATAATAACTTTTTTTAACGTAAACACAGAGTTTAACAACACAAATGAACCACGAAATACGCTTCCAATGACACCTGAAGATACGCAGTTTTGTCAAAATGCCGGTTGTAGATACGCAGTATTGTTTTTGGGCGAATTCTCGCTTTCTATTGGTTGAACGAAAGTCACGTCAATGAGAAGGCTGCCAATCGGGGTCTAGCGTGGAATGCCCGCGAAATTTAAAATTGGCTACACTTGTCAGATACGCGGAATTATCCAATGCTAGTTACGCAGGTTTGCACTATCCCCGACGATATGCAGGCGACTAAACTAAAAAAGGTCCAAACACAAGGATTCAACTTAAAAATTTATATGTACAACAAGCTGCCTATAAATATTACCGAGTTACCATTAAATAAATTTAAAATTGTGATAAAATTATTTTTTGAATCTAATCCATTTTATAAAGTAAATGATTTTTTGACAAAGACCTGGAAAGATTGTAATTTTAATTTGTAGTTTTAATATGTTATTTTAATTTGTAATAAAAATGTAGTTAATTAATCAAATTATTAATTTATATAATTATTTGCAACTTAATTTTGAGAATGACGAATTATTTTATAATGATACAAATTGCATATATAATTATATTATGTAAGCTGTAACAATTTATAGTATTGTGAAATTCTGACATGCCAAATGTGACATACATGTCATAACATGGCCAATTTATAATAAATAAATATAATAAAATAAATAAAATATAGACAGTAGGATTCAAAACCATTTGAAGAAATTTGACATAATGTGGTATAGGTTGTCATGAATATATGCATAGCAACAATATTGCAACCTATTCACGTGATAGAAATGAAGATGTAGATGTAGTCCGGGGGGTACACGTAAGTACGTTGTACATTGAAAGTTGCAAGCATAGTTGACAAACTGACTGAGGCTCGTCTGCGGTGATATGGTCATGTTATGGACGTGAAAGAGCATATGACTAGATACCTACGTAATAAACATTGAAGAACCTCAGCGAGGTCGAGGTAGATCGCCGATTACCTGGATGGGGATTATAAGAAATAACCTGAAGAAGACGGGACTGCAACCGGAGATGACACAGATGCGCCAGAGTGGCGAAAGAAGATTAAGAAGGCCGATCCTAATATAAATATAAATAACGGCGCGGACAAAGAGAGAGTGGTAGTCTGACGTGCAACCGTGTGTACATGTTTTTTAAAATATTGAGTCACAAAAAAACAGTAAATTCATTCAATATTAATGTTTGATATACTAATATGCCAGTTGCAGTCCAGTATTCGTAGACACTCCCTAAAAATTATCAAAGAAAATTAAAATTTGCGATTTAAATATCTCGATTAAGTATTTTTGTTATTTAAAAGAACGCTAGCTTTATTTTGATATAAGATCATAACTATTATCTAATTTCGATTAAAGGCTCATGAACTTTCGAAAATTTTGAAAATCGGTCTACGATTCGTTGGAACATCGTTGAACATACATAAAAAAGTATAACGAAAAATGCAATCAAGCACCTACACGTCGAACACAGAACTTCCTCCTTATTGATTAGAAATCGGTTAAAAAGAATAGTCGTATCATGCCGTACTTACTTATACATCACTTAAATAGGTTTTTGTTGCGGATTTTAGTTTTTTAACAATTAGTTGACAGGAGTTTCATAAAATTAAGATGTTTAGACTTGCGAAACTTATAAAACTATAATGATTTGAGGTTTTATGATTTTCTCAATTCAGGAACCGGTCGTATTAATCGATAGTATTTGCTCTACAGGAGATGTCATTGATTGAAAGTAATCGGATATGAAATAAAAATTTTATTAGCATTATACCACAATAGTTAGTCTTATAATAGGTCTTACAATACTAAAATAATCCATTTTTCTGTTTAATAAATGAATAAATTGGAATTTTGTAATTTGTAAAACATCTAATTCATATTATATATTTTATTTCACATAGTATTTAATGGAGCATTAGGTCTATTTTTATAGCCTCTTCTTCTATAAGCTAAACTGAGTGAGACTGTTTGTTTCCTATAATAAATAAAATATACTTATTACATATACCACAAGTAACGCACGATTAATTGCTTAAAAAAAAAATATAGCTGCACGAATATGTCTGTGCTTGTTGAAAGTCACGTGTTTCATTTACTTTGTAAATGATATGAATTAATTATTATTCTTTTCTATTTCAAAAGGATAGTATGGATGCCTGATCCACTTTAGTTGCGGGATAGTCCTATATCCCCTGTCGTATCTTTTGAGGATAGCTTGTTCGCTTTCTGTTAGGTTGAAGTCAAATACGTCGATATTGGATGCCAAGTGGTCATAAGACAACGCTTTTGGTATCGGGATCACGCCAAGGTCCAACTGTAAAAGAAATTAACTTATCAAATCATGGAATTGGAACTATGATGAATCTAATATTTGAAAAAAAAAACAAACTTTGTTTGGTTTGTTTTTAAATGGAAATAGTGTCACTTCTATTGTGACACTATTTCCATTGTACCTATCAATTTCCGAAACGGACTTAATAATATTTAATACTAGTTTGGGTTTATATCAAAGTTATTTTATGTCACATGTAAATCATATGAATATAAAAAAAACGCATGTGAAATATTCTGTAATTTTAATTTATGACCGTATTGAGAATCTGTATCACAAGATTAAAACAAATTTTGTTTAGTTTGAGCCGAGAGAATTACCACCCATGTGTTTTCAAATGGTTTGCATTTATGCAGAAAATTATTATTGTTATTACGGTTTCGATTAAAGATCATAATAAATTGGTTTCCACTCAGAACACCGGTTAATTTCGCTCACAGTTTTCGGTTAGTCCGCCCATCCATCGCTTTTTGTCTTATCTGTGTGTCTTCTCTCTCGTGACCATAGAATTTGACCATAGAATTAATAAGTACTAGTACTTAGTAATTAATAAGTACTAGTACTTATTAATTCTATGCTCGTGACACTATCAATCATTGAAAAAAATTGAATCTCGAAAATGACGGTATCTTAGGACGGCAAATGAAACTCCACATTTTTGCTAGGAACTAACCAGGTTAATCCTATAATAACAAATTTGGTCATAATACTTTCGAAAGGACACCACTCCCAGCGAGAGTGTAAGAAAAACCTGGTTAAATAAAAATTAATCTTTATTAATCGGTAATTTTCGAACCGTTCTCAAAGCCTTGCATACAAGACTACGGTTTAGTGAGTCCTGCTACGAATAAGATTTACGTTCACGGTTGATTACGTATTCGATCTGCTATAAATATGTTTGCTTACAATTTCATCCATCTACAACTCTACAGATTATGTCTATCTACCAAAGGGGACTTTTATAATTTTTAAACGTCACGATATTAACGGGGAGCAGGGGGAGGGAATTATAAAACGCTCAATGCTTATTACTATAATTATCTTAAACTGTTAACTATTAATGACTGGGTTGGGTCTGTCTATAGATAAAGATATGTACGAGTAAATTAACTTTCAAACGATTGGTACTTGATAAGTTTCTAAATTCTCCTGCCGCTTGTAATTAGTGTGTTAAATTTATATTTAAGTTTATACTTATTATATCATATGTATAGAGATCTATATAATTATTTATCATATATAATAAATGTGTTACGTGATATATATTATAATTATATGTTATGCTACTTTGATTTCAATTTTCGTAGTGTTGATGTATCTATAGCACACCTTCTTAAACATTATATTTCACAACTCTCCAGGTAGAGAATGCCTGCTGGCATTAACAGGCGGAGTTAATGCCAGCAGGCATTCTCTACCTGTACTCTTTATGTGTACAATGAAGTTTAAATAAATAAATATCTCCAGCGGTACTCACCATATACCGAAGTGTGATTTGCGTCACTGTTTTATTGTGATTATTGCCGATAGCTGTTAGCTGCGGGTCGTCTATCCTCGGCGGTGGGGCGTCTGCTCGCGCTTTGCTGTAGAACAGGGATCCGAACGGGGTGTATCCCATCACTACTATGCTTTTAGTCTTACAGTAAGAAAGTAAGTCAGGCTGTTGCAAGTTCAGGTTTATCTATAACAACTGGATACGATTAGGCTTGCATACAACTAATGAGATGAAATTGCAAGGAAAAAAAATATAAAGATGAAGACGATTGCGTATTACGTACAATATTGCCTTTTACATCGAGTAATCGGGTTGATAATGTAAAATAATTATTAATTTCAATCTTTTGCTACAGAAACGTAATGATAAAAGAGAAAATGAGACGAGTTTTTGAGATATTATTGAGATATGAAATTACCGTGGACATTCACGGCAACAACACAGGGAAGTGATTGTAAGTAAATTGTATGTAAGTATTGACCGACCAACGACTTGCCTCTAAAACCAGGGCTATATTTTTGTGGCGTAATGCGTAGCTTCTAAATGTTTTTGTCCAACCAATTCCTAAAAAATTATATCGTACGGTGTACTTCAATAGTTTATTGTTGCTTTTTTTTGTTCTCGTTCAATAATATCCACGACTTTTAAAAAATTATAAAAAGTGGACATTGTCGATCACGATAACGTGACGTGCAGAATTTATATACTCATGTAGATAGAAAATTATCTGTGCGTCAAAAATGATTTTTATGATTCGCCAAAAATATAAAAGTTTTCTGTAAAGCAGGGGTCGGCCCCTGAGCTAAAGGGGTCCTAATGTGTGTAAGCAATGTTTACCCGTCATTTTAATACGGGGCGCCGAAGGCACACTACGCTACTGCCGTAAAGCCATAGTAAGCTATAATAAAACAGTAATTTCAAGATAAATAAAAAACAAGGATTTTATTGCTTTTTTTATCGTTAAAAAGTTATAAATTCGTGCTTGTGTCACTTACTTAGCAATGTTCGTTCCAACTGTTAATCCTAAAAAATTCAACTATCATATCTTATCGTACTTAGATAAAAACTGCATACGAGTGTATTTATCTGCCGCCGAATCAAGATAACTTGTCTACTAAGTATTTTTTATCAAGGTTTAGATCAGAAAGTGATATAAATTTAAAAGTAGCAATAGTTAACAGCAGACACAGTTATAAAATAGCTATCATTCTGAGTGTCAACCCTGTGCCTACAGGTAATCATTTTATTTTATTTTATTTTATTTATACAATAAAATAATTAAGTATTTATCAATCGTGTGTGTAAGTGTCCGCAGAGCTAGTATAGTATAAATAGCTACATCATACGCTGCTGTCATATCTGTGACGCTTATAGGTATTATTGTTCTGTGCGCTTATAGACTCGTGAACGATTTCGCAACACGTTGAAAACAATCACCGATCTTGCATTTATTCTCGTAGCATGTCATATATGAATATCTATTATTAATGTAGTTAAGTTAATTGATATTTTAAATTATTTAGATCAAATTGAGGTTATTTGACTAAAAAGAAAATGTATGCTTAGAAAAAAAAATTGAAAGTAATTATTGTAAAAAATACAAATTAATATTCTTTTACATGATTACTTATGATAAGTACGTGTTTATAATAAAATAAATAATGTTAATAAATATAAGGACTAACAAATAGTCCGCTAGCTTAACGCGTTTATGGATTCGAGTTCCATCTGGAGCTCTATTTTTAAATCATTATTTTCGCGTCGCGCGCTCGTTTTCTACTGATTTGTGTCCAACATAACAAATTCGCCAGTTCTTCAAAACAAAATTCAATATTTCGAATCACGTAGGCCACCCTGCGGATGAACGATTAAAAAATACTAAAACAAAGGCGTCATGGGACTTAGAAGTCAAGCGTGACTTAGACGGCAAGGAGATTTTAAACGAGTGAATAAAAAACAGAGCTCTTGGAGAAACTGACACCGTAGAAATTTGTAAGCTGACCTTAGATTGACGCTAAATAACCTCAGAGGCAGACTTCTTTAAGATTTAAATTTGAAATATATTAAATAAAATAGCTTAAAGGATTATATTAGATTACATTTACAATGCTATACTTCATGCGTATTTTCATCAATAGAATAATTAATTAGAAGAAATTTTCATCTTTATCGAAAGTTTAAAATATTTGTAAAAATATTTATTTCGGTTGCTTGGGTGGATAAACATTGATGAAAAACGGTCTGTAGTAGTGAAAAAGTAACAAGTGCTCAAAAGATTTGTCAGTCGTGTTAGTTCCTGGGTAGCTCAGTGGTCAGAGCTGTCGCCCGGATTGCGAAAGGTGGGTTCGAATCCCATCTCAGAGTACCAGAAGAGACAAAATACATGCCTTAAAACCGTTTAAGGTAATTTTATTTAATGAATAGTGCGAGAGAAAATGTACGAAACAAGTTTTTAACACATTTTTAGAATCGGGCAGCCAAAACTAACCTCCACCTGAAGTACTGCAGGGACATCTAGACCATTGTCCAGGATTCTGTCGATCTGGTGCTGATTGAAATTGGACAAACCAATGGATTTGGTAAGGCCGAGTTGTTTTGCGTCCATCATACCTCGCCAGGTCTCCAAATAGTCTGTATAATCAAAAGTAAGGTTCGCCTGTAAGAGAGACAAATTATGTTTAATATTCTTATCAAGACTTTATAATATTTCATAGCTCAGCAGGCCTATTCGCTAATTCAACTGATAGCTTAAAGTCATAATCGTAAATCACTTATTCGTATAACCGCTTGCTATAGAGCTCTGTGAACAATTTATTTCAGTTGTCCTTAGAGTTACAGAATAAGGAGGGCTGAGCGTAACAAAAAAATAAGTTGGCGGCAATACAAAGAGTGCCGAGCTCATTTTTCCGTCTTGAACGAAAATCTCTTATAAGTAGCATGATTGCAAGGCAACAAACATTACTTTATTTAACAGCAACCTTTTTTGATAACAACACATTCATACAACAGGAACAAAATCGTGTCCTATATATTTTGTCCATACATTTTTAACCCGACTACGGCGAAGCGAAAAGAGGGAAATAATTTTGGTAGGCATATACGTATGTAAGAATGTTCATCTGTTCCCTTAAAACTTTCTAAACTTCGTCATAACTGAACAAATGAGGCATCATTAGAAGCGTCTTAGTTGTCCTCATGCCCTCTAGAGCCCTCTAAGGCACTCTAGAGAGCATAAAGTAAGAAACTAAAAAAAATATATATTATTAAATTATTCCGTGTAGGATATCAAATTAATGGGCTTAATTAGCAAATTTCTAATATTTCGGTAGGTGAAAAACCTAACTATCGAAATCTATCGCAATAATACCCGTCTTATACAATCTAATATAATGCAACGCTAAAGTTTAAAAGTTTATATTAAAATAAGTTCCATAACAAAAACCGGACTACAACTACTTGCACATTTGTTTTATTTGTTTATTTCGTTATGATCAGTTGCATACGACTACGCTGTTTTTGTTCATCGCTATTATAATATAGCTATCGCTATGAAATAAATCTATTGTTTCAAACTTTTTAGAGCATGATTTACCTCTAGTATGGTTTTAGTTTTTAAACTTTTTTTTAATACTAACGTATGCGTGAGTTTTACTTACGAATTGTCCCACAGGCCAATGTATTAAGTATAGATCCACGTAACTTAAGTTCAGAGCTTGCAGGGACTCTCTTAAAGCAGGTACCACTGCCTCTCTGGCATGTCGATCATTCCAAAGCTGAAAAAATTACAGTAACGCTATACCACCATAATCACATACTCTATAGTATAATGTAGTTACCAGTAAGTTAAATAATTTTTAAATTCCGTCCAGAAGTCCACAAACAAACGATCAAATCTTTCCTTTTTATAATATCAGTATAAATATAAGAAAACTTTTCATTCTCAAAATATTACATTCGTAATTATTATCTTTTGTTACATCAAATACATATCGTTAAATAAATAGTAAAATAAATACCTAATGCAGCAAATGTTACTTTTCGTTAAATATTACATTCGCAAAACATTATATATAAAGATAAGCATTACATATACTGTTCAAAATGTGAACCTCCTTTTTTGAAGACGGTTAAAATCGATTAATGTACGACTCGCGAGACATGCAGGTTATAAGAAACCAAGGTCGTTATTTTACCTTAGTGGTGATGAATAGTTCTTCCCTTTTTATTCCCATGGCCATTTTCTGGGTGAGAGCTCTCCCAACCTGATCTTCCACTTTGTATATATAAGCTGTATCTATATGTCGGTAGCCGAGATCTATAGCCAGTTCCACAGCTTTTTCCACCTCGTCACCCTTGGGTACGACTCGACCCTGGAAGACATAATTAAATATTATTATTAAGTAGGTACTATTTATTATACCTACGTAGTAAAATAGTACCTGTGCTAGTGCCACAGCTAGTTTCTGGAATTGGTAACCTTTAGGGCCAGCCTCTAGGGGCGTGGTTGGTCTACCCGATCAAAACGCGCTGTGATAGTTTATATTGTAACGAGACAAATTATAAACTGGCGAAGTTATAATTTTTCGATATGATATATATATTTAAAGGTATTACAATATATTGTAGACAACGAGTACTCATAATTACATAATATAAAAAAGAACAACGTAGGTAACAACATTTATATTTTTAATTGTTACGAAATTCCATTTGCTTATGTGAAGTATAAATAGGATAAATAAAATGAAAAGATTTTAGACTTAATGCTAATTGAGGTATTACAAAACAGGTCAATATCGGAAAATTGGCAATAACATATTTTGAGACAACGACATAACTATTGCAGGTAAAGTATCTAAGATAATGTGGTACTTACCTATAAATATTTTTATTGAACGCGGGGAGCGTGCGGGCAGTCGGGCTTTGATAATGAAATTTATTTTAGAAAGAAGAACTGAATAGTCAATTTGAATAAGAAAAAGTAATAAACTGAATTAGAAAAAATAATACTAAATCAGACATCTTTCGACGATTCTCTAGCGTTAGCAAATTATAGCTTTTTAGTGACTCCTTGTACTCGTTTTTTGGCAGATATTACGGTAATTAAGTATCTTCATAAAATATATCTTTTAAGATAGAAAGGATTCCAAATGACACTAACAAATTCCAAGAGCGTACAAAAAAAAAGAAAATATTTTTTAAGGTATGAGAGTTATTAAAGGGTTTTGATGGTAGTTATATCGAGTTGCGATTTTTACGTAAATTTTAACATAAAGTTCTTGCCTATATTCTAAAGGCGTAGTAGCTTAGTTACTCGCATTGTGGACTCGAAAAATGACAAAATATAAAATTCTACCTGAGTACTGTTCCCAAGCCATGTGCCGAGCGCCAAACATGGAATTTCTTTGCCATCGTTAAGTTTCAATTTGGGTACCGTTAATATATTGCAGTGCTAAAACAAAGAAAAGTAGAGTACTTACATTCTAATGATTCAACATTCTTAAAAATAATTTTGGAACTTTTTGTAAAATTACTTACAAAATTAAGTAAAAAATTAAAGTTGTCCTAAAGCAATTTCGTTTTGGACAATATTCGTAAAGAAAGAGTTGTAATCAAAATATTTTTTTGTGTTACAATTTTATAATTAAGTTTGACGCTATATTCCCCATGTAAATTAAAGTTTATAAAACCAGTATATGATGTAGCTTCCCGTAGGGTATGTGAAAGAATTTTTAAAAAAGATCCATTTGCTTTTCCATTTATTTATAACAAACAAGCAAGCAAAAAACAAAATCAAATCTTTCTTCTAGTATATTATGGTTACATATACAACTTTTTAATTGATAATTATATAATCATTAAAAAATTGTAGAAAACATTTTATTAGCTATTATATTGTTACATAAAAAATAAACACTTACGCTCGTGCCTGATATTGCAAGTATCACAAAAAAACAAATACCAAATAATATCATTATTATTAGGTACGCACGATAATTATTGACCTCAGATAAGCAACCTTACAAAATGCCAGACGAAACTGTAATGGCCGAATAGTGGCATCAAATAGCATTCTTTAGTAGTGTCACTAATTACATCAATATCATTAAGAGGACTGCCAAGGTACTTAGCAAACAAACGAGAAATTAAATCACAATTTTCCAAAAGATTCGATTATTATACTTTGAAGTAGGTTTTATTTATTTGAATTGAATTGCCTTCGTCGCTGATTATATAACATAATAATACCGGTGAACTTGCGGTGAAATCTTATAGAAGTTTTAATTGGCTGAATGAATAGGTTAGAAGCTCCACGAAAACTTTTATAATACGAGTAATTATCCGTATTCAATTTTGTACTGCTTTCATACCTAATTGATTTCTCTGTTCCGAAGAAATAGAAAGTTACCGGAATACTTATATACTATAACTCTGAACGTTATATTCATATTATATCTCTTTCATTTAGGTTTATAAAAAGGAGTAGATTAAATCATATTGAATTATTGGTCTAACCGGTTTATCTGGGGTCCTGCAACTCACTGGAACTAAGCCCGTTTCGTCTAACACTTTGAAAATTGCTAGTTGGGTGGAAGGCCTTCCGTTGTTAGTTATAACTACCTACTCATTCGATTGTGGAAATGTTTGGGTCAATGTCATCTCATCCTGTTACTGGTTTATACAGACTGGTATAAAATTTAAGACGATGGATACAAGGTTTTGTTTTATGAAAATAGAGGTATATCTTAACGTATGTCGTCGGAGTATTTTTGTTCAGAACGCTTCTAATTATCTATACATAGTATAAAACAAAATAGATTCCCGCTGTCTGTACGCTGAGATCTTTTAAAAGTGCACAACGGTTTTTAATGCTGTTCATCAACGTTGTTTGATCACGTTTAAGCTTTTTTGTACTAAACTTTGGCACTAGGTCATTTAAATCAATTGTTTGATGCCAAAATAAATAAAAAAAATAAGTGTAACACAAGACCACGGGCTACTTTCCTCCAGCTGCTTTGCTGGCGAAAAGCTGTTATAAAAACTAAACTGCTGATCCAATTTCGACAATTTAAAACTACTTCAGGCGCATAAGTTTTGTTATAAATTAAATTCAGTGATGATTGACAAGCATATAGATTAGACATTCTGGTTTATCTTTGAATTTATTATTTTTGTTATTAAAAACGCCTATTTAAGAATCTACAAAATAAAATAGTTAATAAAAAATATAAGCTCAGTATGCTATTTTAAAAAGATCTTGAACGTGATCTAACAGTTTTCTATAAGACGAAACAAAGAACTCATTATACCACTAGATAAATAATAAAATATACTTAGCAACTTGTTTAACAATGTTATATATCGATTCTACATCAACTAGTCGAATGGAAACCTGTTTGGAATCAAAACATTTATGTTGCGTTGGTTATGCAAAAAGATTTGTGACCAACAAAGATGCTATAATGCGCAAAATAGACTTCTCTGATTACAGTATGTTAAAACGCGAACCGCCTGATGCGATTATAGAGAAAATAAAATTATTTATATTCTTACATTTATTATTAACATTTTCATGTTTGTTTAAAAAGTAGTAAAAAAAACTAGACATTTTGTTGACAAAAATCGGTCAACGGCCGTCAGTAGGGTTATCAGAAGTAGCAACGTGTTTAAAGACATCTTTTTTTTTTCTTTATCTCCAGTTATAGTATGTTAAAAAAAGAGAGAGAAAAAAAAAACTGTAATATGATTTACAGTAATGAATACAATATCACGTCTATCTACCACAAAATTTAGTACAGATAAAAAAAACTGTATCAAAATATGTAATATATTCATACATTGTTACTGGTGGCTCTAACGTAACTCGTATTTTGTTATTATTCGATTTTCAAATTCTGTTGTTTACCTACTTATAAACAGACGAAGACGAATAAAAAAGTTCATGTCGCTAAAAAGTAGAATCTTAGGATTTGATGTCGCTTCTGCATTTGCTTAATCATTGAAAAACGACCGTGGAACTTGTATTATGATTGGGATCTTGCTAGTCGGCTGGTACCACGGTCAAGATGGACGCGCGTTCTCTGTGGCTTATTTTAGCGATTGTTGCTGTAAGTTATTCTTTCTATTAAAAGAAAAATTTAGTTATTAAAACTTGATTAAGGATAAATGTATGCTGAACTAATTCATAATTATCATAAAATATCTAATAGTATGAATCAAGGTTACGCGGTTTATGTTTGAGCTTGCTTTTTTGCAGCTTGATTATACAAAAAATTGATATCTGAAGGTCTACTCTGTTTGTCTACGAACGAAAATTACAAAAATTTGGAATCGTTCTTACATTTTTTTAAATATCATATGCGTCAATATTGTCTGTGCATCAGAAGCAGCGTCAGGGTTTTACCTCAGTTTCATTATTAATTATCGCAAAATGTGTTCCTTTAGAGTCGTATTAGGGTTTTGAAAATAGACGAATTTTAGTTTTCGGAGAAACAGAGTGTCTTCTGTGTTCAAAACCAATTCGAACACTACCAAAGTTAACCCTTCCGAACTCGATGATTTCAAAAATAAAATTAGAGGAACACTATTTAATTTATTAACTTTAGTAAACGATCAGTAACTGACTTTAATCTGGTTACTTAGTTTAAGGGACTAACAGTAAAAGGGACTGTTTACACATGATTTTGATTTCCAGAGCTAGAGCATTGTATTTGGAAATTACAGTTCTCATTTACTTAAAACTTAGTTCTAAGTCTGAAGTTTTGATTATAGAACTGAATCAGTTTCTCCTAACTTCTCTTCTTCTTCTTCTTCAGTTTTCCATTATCCAGATACCACACATTGAATTTTGAATTTTTGAATTTAGATTTGTAATAATTGGATAGATAGCTTAACATAAAATGCTGGCCCTGAGGATCCCATAAAAATTGTAAAAAGTGTTTTTATCTTTTATTTAGGTCAACAAGGTGGATCTATCTAGTCAATTGAAAGCATTTTTTACATTCCATCTTCAAGATAATTTTTTGTCATTAATTGCATAAAAAAGTTCTAAGAGTATGTATTTATATACCAGTGTATAATACAATTATATTTTTCATAATGATCCTTTAAAACAAATATTGTTCTTTAAATAAAGTTACGACTAGTTAAGTTATTAAATTTAAGTACTTTGTTCTGCTTTTCCAGGTGTCTAAAAGTACGGGCGTGGCGCCAAGACTCAAATTGAATGATGGCAAAGAGATTCCGGCACTAGGCCTTGGCACTTGGCTCGGATTTACGAAAGAAGTAAGTTATACTCGGCTACACGTCATGGTACCACAATACTTACAATTTCCGCAGTGAATGTTGATCTCTACTCACAATTTGACATGCTATTGACAGTATAATTTATATTTAAAGTCGCTGTTTTTCCTCTATTCCCCATACGTAAATTGTAGCCTATGTCATACTTGTAGATGAAAGATTTTTCTTAAATCGATGTTGTAGTTTCCGAGCCTATTCGATGCAAAACAAACAAACAATCAAATCTTTCCTCTTAATAATATTAATATAGACAACACAGCTGAGGAAACGGAAGCGATCGATTGGGCAGTGGTTAGCCATGCGGAAATAAAGAAAATTTCTCCAGGACATTTTATAGGATGGGTGACTAAAACATATTATATGAACTCATCCGTACTTCGGTAGATATATTAAGCCGTTGATCCCGGCTGCGTCTGGAGTCGTTAACACCCACCAATTCTCATTGGGCCTTCGTTGTGTGTCATGGCCCATTCCCCTGTTCAATGCGATAGGCTGAAGATAATTATAGCATTGTTAGAAATATTAATTTTCAAAAATAATAACTGGTCGGAGTTACCACATAATGCCAGGCCGTGTCTTGTGTGACTGGTCCAGTCAGGAATAGTCTATTCAATTTTAGACCAATCCTGATTGGTCTGCTGATAGTAGATGCCCTACTATATCGACTGTTGACTATAAAAGCTGTCAGTCCAGTACACTGATATGCCGTTCCCTCCTGGCTCATATGCTGTATCGTACACCGCAGGGTACTCGCGTCCCAGTGCAGGGAGATGAAGTGGAGAATGCTGTACAATGGGCCATAGACGCTGGTTACAGACACATCGATACTGCTGCCATCTACAATACCGAGCTTCAGGTAAAAAATAAAGTTATAATTGGAAATTCATAGTAGGGATTTTGGTAAGCAGGCTTCCTTTTCTTTGGATTACTTGATTAAAATGTCATAACTTAAATAAATACTTTTTACAAATGTGAATGAAGTAATAAACTCTCTAAAATTAAAATAGTATTTTTTTAGCTATCAGAAGTTCTTACTTACGTAAAATAGTTACGTATTTCTCAGTAAGAGGCGCTGATGTCGGATTGTTTTTGTGATACATTTATTTTAATTTTTAGGTTATACAATAAATTTAAAAAAAGTAGGGTGACTAAGCAACGGAAAACAATTACTTGATTAAGTTCAGTGAGACAAATGTAGGAGTGCAGTGCGAAGGTGCAGCATCAAAGGTTATTTCTATAGTTTTATGGATATGTCGCAGGTTATGATAAAGACAGGATTGTGACCTAGCTCCAGATGCTGATAAAATATATTGGAGGATATAAAAGTTTTTGAGAAATGAATTGACCTAAAGTTCCTACATGATTCACTACTTTAGGTCACGTGATAAGTTAGAAATTTAAGACATTCGCGAAGCGTCGCGTAGCGATCGTATTAAATTTCGAGGTTGTTTTTTAGACCACAAAATCATAACTCTAACGAATAAACAAGGTCATTTCTACGACAAGACCACGACATATATAAGTAATGTAATAAGTCGTTTATTGAAAAAATAATATTATTTCATCATCAGCCGTTTCAACTCCCCACTGCGTGGGCTCAAGCCTTCGTTATAGATAGTGGTAAGGAGGATGGACCATGTATCCTTTGTACGAAAACCGATGTCGCCAGTCTTGCCCCACTTTTCGTCCGCCGTACATCAGACGAAATATTAGACTAATTATACAAAAGAAATGCATACACTTGCATTTTAAACATGCCAATCAGAACGCTCCAATATAACTATAACCAATCACGCTTAACTATAACAGACATCTATAGTGCGCAATAAACGTGAAAAAGCCATTTTAATTTGACATATCACACCAGTGATTGACATAAAGTTATTTACTATCGATATTGAAAAACAACAAGTCGATTAATTGAAAGGATACTATTGTTTAAATGTGCCATTAACTTTTTCTTTAGATATTATTTGTTAATTAGTTGGTTGATTCTGTAAGAAATATTTAAATTACTAATGAACTAACATTGAATCGGTACTAGTCGAGCTTAAATATTTATTTGCATATAAATATGTTTGTTTATAAATAATAATAGTAGGTAATTTTTTACGTTACGTTACTCGATTTCGTATCAAGTAGACAGATAAGATCGGCAACATCGCTTAAATGAAACTAGTAATATTGACAAACAATATAATGTAAATAAATATATATACAAATGAAAAAAAAATACAATTAGTACAATAAATGCTATTGGAACTTATCCCGAACTCCGATTCCGATGATTTTAAAAGTATTGTTGTTAATGGTTCAAAATAAAAAAAAAATCTAATTTTCTGTTACAATATTAAGAATATAAAAACAGACTTATTACCACACTCATTATTAAATTAATATACAAACGCATACCAAACGAAGTCAATATAGTGGTCAAGAATAGGGTTACATTTTATTTGTTGCTATTGTTAATCTCTGATTAAATTTATTTTGTATTACCACTATTTTTATCGTCCTTACTTTTATTTAGTTTTTACAAACTAACACACCAAGAATCGATTAAATGTTTCCAGGCACTTCACTAGCCATATACCGTAATCTATTATGTTGCCAATTTAATTGGTGATTTCGCGATGTTCTTTACATTACGTGTTTAGTACGACGCAATGTAATAAATATGCGCACCTCTCCAGCAATGTATATTTTCTTGGAAATATTTTTTGTGATTCACGCTTTTAATAACATTTCACGAATTCGATTAAATATACTAAATTTGAGAAGTGTTCTACTTATTAATGGAAAGAAATCCTTTGGACCTATTTGAGGATGGGCTTCTTGTTTTGCAATTAATAATTGCGCAAGTCGGCATTTTTAACACTTTTAGTGGCGTGCTTCACGGTACTTACAGCGCGCGCGTTCGTGAAAGACTAAACATCGCAATCGCGTGGTGAAGTTAAGATCCTGTACATTTGTCCAGGATCGTGGCTACACTGCCACGCCCACAAGGCCCTTTTAACGTCTTTCTGTGTTCTGTGGTCCTGACATATAATAATATTACACCTTATATACTTTTCATCTAAGTGATTAATTTTAATTTTTAGGTTGGCAGAGCTGTAAACAAAAAGATTGCTGAAGGAGTAATAAAGAGAGAAGATGTCTTTATTACAACAAAGGTATGAAAGATAAATTGTTTCAATACATATGTAAAAAAAATTCTCGCCTTGTCTGTTTGGATTCAAGAATTGCAATCACTACTGAACTTACTGGAGGTGTAAAATGCACGAGTAGTCTCGCTACGTCAGTTTTGTAAAAAATGCAGAAAAGCGTGACGTCATGCGACTGTCAACTCAATGTAAGTAAGAAAGAAAACAAAATTAAAGTAAGAAAATTTGTACCGAGAAGAACCAACTCAAAATACTGTAAGGGCTGCTTTTTTCTTAATTTAACTATGAAGTTCTTTCTTTTATGTTATTTTTTAATTTTCAAATATCTTTTTATTTTTTAAATTATTTTTTATTTCTTAAATAAAAAAGAACATGAAAATTGAGAATAACAGTTAAATCATTCGTTAATCGATTAATTTCAGTTATGGAATACCCGTCACGCCAAAGAAGATGTAGTACCGGCCCTGAAAGAGTCACTTCAGAAGTTGAACTTGACTTACGTGGACTTGTATCTCATCCACTGGCCTATATCCGAATCTGTGAGTATATTTCGTGGGATCGAAGTGAAAATTTACATTTTACTAAAACATTAACTTATCTAGCTCGAAGTACCAAATTATTTTGAGTATGTACCAAGCATAGTTTTTTAAGTACCTTTTAAGTTACAAATAAAAACATTTTCTTCTTAATCAAAAATACCTATACGCTTTTGAGTGAGACCAAAATTTATTGGAGGAACAATTTTGGGGCGTTCGTCGCTATAAAGCCCGACTTTCTTCTACTCCTATTTACAAAATTTTCCCCAAGGAGTTTCCTATCGAACACTTGAGGAGATTTTCCTCAAGTGTTATCAGATAATTTAAGAAGGATTTACAATATCTGCTAATTCATGAAACTAATACTTATACTAGCTTTAAGCCAGCGGCTTCGCCTGCGTGGGGTGCCTAGGGAACTGTTTATTTGGATATCGATTCTTATTATGAGACGGATATAATTACAATGACAATTTGAATAGTAAACAATGGTTATTATGGTACCGTTTTGATTCCATAAACAAACTTCCACTCGCATTTTCATCCCTTCATTTGCTGTTTTTCGGGATAAAATATACGTCCAGTAGTTTCGGAGCCTATTCGATGGGAACAAACAAACAATCAAATCATTCCTCTTTATAATATTAGTATAGATAAATAATGTTGCAGAGCGCAGTCTATTCTCACTGTCGTGACCCCATTGTAATGTTTGGATAACCGTTACAAATAATACTGTCACTCTAGACTGCTGTTATATTGAGTCAGTGGTTTTTGCTTATTTACAGCACAAGAAGTTACTGAGATTAGTTAAGATGGGAGCAATTAGTGTAGGGTAGGCACAGTAATAACTTTTAATATGCGTAGTACTAATTAATGGTTTTAATGTTATTCAAAATTATATTAGTGTTTTAGAGTAATACTATTTTACTATAGTTTTATCATGATTACTTGAGGTAATAGAACATATATAATTTTTAGTAGAATGTAATACTCTTTATTGTACATCTCCCATAACATGTTCTAACGGATAAAAAAAATTCGTTATAAATGTTTCAGGAGGATCAAAAATTTCTGGACATTGACTACGTGGATACATGGCGGGGTATGGAGGAGGCTCGCGCTCAAGGCCTTACTCGTTCTATAGGCGTCTCCAACTTCAACCAGGCGCAACTCGAAAGACTCATATCGCTCACCAATTCCAAGCCCGCCTCTTTACAAATTGAGGTAAGAATAGATCGCACAAACAAAACATCTTAAACAAAAAAAATAGTTTAGCAAATGTCGCCTCTGTTAATAATCTGCTGATAATTCAGACAACAAAAAAAAGTTATAATTTTGTATTCAGAAAATTCTTTTCTACGTGTTTTTTGAATCGTGGCTTATTTGCGTTTACACGATTCCGACTATGTCATATTGGTGTCCTTTACAAGTAAAGAGACAATAACAAAAATATAATAGTTAACCGACTTCAAAATCGTTAATGAGGAGGTTCTTTTGCATTTTGAGGTAATAGCTTAAACTATTATTGATTGCTAGGAATGTAGATACAATTTTGTATGGACTGGGTTGCTCCATACTCATACAAACAATCATACAACTGCGTTGCCTAGTTTCATATTTGTAGTTATATTTATATTTGATAATGTTTAATATTTATTTATTTAAGTAAGTATATTATAGAATATGCCGTAATAATTCTACATCAGCAAAAAAAACATTCGAATCTTTTTGAAAACTCACACGTTATTAGGTAAAAGAAGGTATTACCGAGGTATAATCAAGACTATAAGGTTTAAATCTTCGAAATATGAATTTCCTATCGTAAAAACAGTTACTAGTATATGTATATTTTCTGATACTTAGAGGTTTGAACTTTAGAAATCTATAAATATGTAGATAGTTGCATTAATAGATAGGAAATACTTAAAAAAAAAAAATCTTCAAAATCCGGATGAAGCTATTACCGGGGTATGCTAAAACGTTTGCAGCTAATACCGCGATTCGTGATTCTATTACCGACGGTAGAAAAATAATAGACATGTTGGTTTCGTACAAAATCGTTTGTAAAAAACAAATTATTGACCACTTTATGCTTTGATCAACAAAAATTGTTATTTTTAACTCTTATAAAGCTTTTTATCAAAATCACTACATTACAGACTTAGTACCTACTACTATTATTACAATCGCACGTATGTATCACTTTTGATAGTCTTGATAATCTTAATGTATAATATTAAATAGGAATTTTTTTCTTAAAATTACTATAATACTAAGATATCAATTCATCATCATCATCATCACCAAACCTATTACGTCCCCACTGCAGGGGCTCTGGCTTTCCTTATGGATGGTTAAGGAGGATGGGCCATGACTAAGTTAATTTTTCATAGTTTAATTTAGGACAAAAAAAAATAAGAACTTTAACGCCATTTTTATAACGTGGAAATTGTTTTTTACTTTAATTAACTTATTTGTATTAGTTTATATAAAGTGACTATTAGTGTTAATTTATTCTATTACTGAGTACACCGGGGTCAATAAATTTAGGTTTAAGTCGTTTATTTTTCAAAAAGAATTACATATATTCACTTACATGAGAATTACAAACATATTCATAATGTTCTGCTGGTAATAAAAGATATAAATAATATAATAATAAAATTCAAGGAGATAATTGTGTGGCTATCGCCACGGTATTTTATTTTTATTTATTGTCGATAAATAATGCAATATAAAAGAAAATTAAAAAATTAAAATCATGGCTGAAACTTTAATCCACCTTTTGCCCTAATTTGAATGTGTATATATGATTTATTTTAGACTCTATAATCATTAGCAAAATATTGAGTGTACTTACTTATGGTGACTTGCGTTCATATGGACGTCATGCTCTGGCGCCGGCTGGATGCAAAGTAATCGTTTTTTTGTTTTTCTTATTTGATGTGCATAATGTGTCACGAATCTATTCAAACGAATTTAAATTGATATTTCATAAAAGTTTAACTTTTTGAGTAAAATATATCTGTCACATAAATCGACGATACCTGCAGGTTTCGAGTACCGCGGTAATATCAGCTTTTACCTTACCTATTAGACTGGCTCAAGTATTGATTAATGACTTGTGTAGATAAAGATCTCAAATGTACCTATAGTCGTTATATATAGATACCTTACTCCTTTATTAAAAAAAAAAACTATAATTTAAACAACGTTCTTTTCAGATAAATTTGAACCTGCAGCAACCAGATCTTTTAGCTTACTGCAAACGTCAAGGAATATTAGTGACTGGATACACACCATTCGGTTCATTATTCTCTGACAAGACTACTGAAGAGGTTCCACCTCCTCGCGCAGACGATACTTCCCTCGTTGCCATCGCTCAGAAATACAACAAAACTGTAGCGCAAATAGCGCTGCGTTACGAGGTGAGACTTCATAGTAGTCGATGTATCGATGACCAAATTTATAATATAATAGGGGGAAAATCGAAATTCTATTAATTGCGTTAATCAGATAATAGAAAATATTAGATATGTATTTTTTTAAACGACGAGTCAAGGAATGCCCAGGGTTTTTAGCCCTTGCCCCCAGCAGGAGATATATAACGCATTTTCCCTGAGCCAAAAAAAATGAAAAAAGTTGCAGTAATAACAGTTCCATATGGAACTACAAATCTTAGTAATAAGGTATCTTCTTATTATATTTGATCACTTTCCGAAAATATTCTTATTGAAAAATGCTTAAAAATCCGCTTATGTTCTTGTCACTCTGAGATGGGATTCGATCCCACGACCTTTCGTAATCCGGGCAACTGCTCTAACCACTGAGCTACCCAGGACCTAACAGGACTGACGAATTTTTCAAGCACTCGTTACTTTTTAGACACTACAGCTTTTACAGACACTAAAGTTTAAATATTTGTGAAATACTTTTACAAATATTTAAACTTTCGATAAAGATGAAAATCTGTTTTGATTGTGTTATATTTGATCAATTTTTCATTCACAATGTTATACTGAAAAATATTATTAATGAAAATGAAAGGTTCGAGTCCCATCTCAGAGAGCCAGGGATAAAGTGGATTTTGTAAGCATTTTTTTTATCAGTATAGCATTATGAATGCCAAATTGATCAAATATAATAATTTAAATTCACAATTCAGAAACAGAGTGAAAATTTCTTCATCCTTTTTTATTACGCATTGTCAAGAAGTGGACTTTCTATTTATATTCCCAAGTGCATATAACGTAGTCTTATAAGGCGAAAGTGAATTGGTTCCATTTAGGCAAAATTGTCCCACCTCAACTCATTCTTGTTCTTGGTCTAGATTGAGATCAAAAATTAGCCCATAATAAATAAATAAAAAACGTTGGTACACTTCTGAAGCACGATACAATCCTAAAAAACAATCCTCATAAATTCACTGCATTACGCAATCAAATATGCTTTTGCTCATGGTTTTGTCACAGCCGGATCAATATCGATAAAATTGTTTACTATATTTTTATTTGTATTGTATTTCCACGTCCCCAAACAAAAAGTTTTTCATCATATATAATATTATTATATGCCAGGAGTGTATGATTTAAGTATATTGTTACCGATGACGACGATGATAAAACCTTTTATAGTTTTTGTATAAAATAATATCGAAACCCATTGCTTTTTATTTGGAATTCTTATCATATACTGAGCATAATTTTTCACGGGTCATTCTAATTACTATTCAGGTTGAACTGGGCGTCATCCCAATTCCGAAGTCCATACACAAGAAACGAATCGAGCAGAATATCAACGTATTCGATTTCGAATTAACACAAGAGGAACGAGATGTGTTGAAGGCATTCGATAAGAACTACCGCGTGATCGCCGCCACTCACTGGAAAGGTTCCCCTCACTACCCCTTTGAGAAGAATTGAATAGTGTAATTTTTAAATTTTGAATAAATGGCTTGGTAACTTAATTGGTGTTTCAATATATTAATTTGATTTCTAACCGACTTATAAATCAAAAAGAAGGAGGTTATATATGAGATTATATGTATTTTTTATGTATATGTTCATCGATTTTTCCGCGAATAGCATATCTACTTAGCACAAAACTACTAAAACAGATTTTTTTAAGTTTTGTTGACCAACTTTAAAAATTCTGTTTTGGTAGTTTTGTAACAAAACAAAATATGCTTTTCTCCAAATAATAAATATATATATTTCATGCTTTTTAGTGATATTGATATTTTTTTATATAATAGGTAACACTTAAAATATTAAATATCTATGTCAACATAGTGAAAGTCTTTGGTAAGGAAATTTTGTTTATTTGCTCGACATATTTTTTTCCAATAATCTTTACTCATAATAGAAGGAGGAAAGTTTTGATTGCATCGTATAGGCTCCGAAACTATTAGACTGATTGTAAAATCCTTTTATCTATGAGACATAATACGCGGGTATATATGCTATTATTTACGCAAACGAAGTCGCGTTAAACAGCTACTTTGATGGAAATCAATACCTACATAAAAAATATACATATCCGTATAATATTGAAAATCCTCCTTTTAAAAAAGCATGCATTTTTAAGTAACTGCAATAGTTAAGGCGCAATACTCGTTTCAAGTTTCATTTGGCTCTCCTGTAAAAGTTTTCATTTTCAGTTAGTGAAAATGAAAACTTTTACATAGGACATGTCGTATAGATTCTAACTTGCCTAAACGAGCGATAAGCGAGACGAGAGTGATAGCGATGCTACGACCGGTCATGCTGCTACGATGTCCTGCTACAATGCTACGGCCAGTAAATAACTCAAAGGTGACTGACTGATATAGTGATATATCAACGCACAGCCCATACCACAGGATGGATCGGGCTGAAATTTGGCATTCAGATAGATGTTATGACGTAGGCATCCGCTAAGAAAGGATTTTGATCAATTCTACCCCATGGGGATAAAAGAAGGGATGAAAGAAACTGTCAATATTCAACCGATCGGGCCGAGACTTTGCTATATAGACGTAGGGATCCCCTAAGAAAGGATTTTTACCAATTTTACCCCCAAGGGGATAAAATAGGGGATGAAACCTAATTTCAGGTATTTTACACGATATAATGAATAAATATTCGTTAGAAATGCTGCTCAAAGTAACTTTACCACGCGGACGAAGTCGCGGGCAAAAGCTAGTTTACTATGATTTGCTAATACATCTTGCGTTGCTTTAAATTTTAGTGGTTCACAATTTATATTAACGTCACTGCGTTCAAATTTTTCTTGAATATTGATATTTCATTGCGAAAAATTTATTTATAAACAGTAAAAGATTTTTTTTGCGATTATAACGTAACTCAGACTTTTTGAACCATTTTTAATACAAATAAAAATATTCGAAAAAATAAATTTGCCTAGTTTTTGAGTTTAACGTTTTCAAACATACAAACAGACAGATACCGTTAAAGTAAATAGGGTTCCGTAACCAAAGGATAAAAACGGGACCCTATTAAATAGTTATAATTATTATTTAATCAAAATGGTTACTATTATCATCTAATAGGGTGATCATTTATGATAGAACTCTGAGGATCTAGACTGCATAAACTGTGTGAAAGCATTTTGTACTGCCTCCTGGGAAGAAACTTCTCGTCACGTATATAATTGTCCAAATAACGAAAAAAATGGTACTCCGTTGGAGCAAGGTCTGGCGAATACGGAGGATGACGAATGGTTTGTAACTGCAGTTCTTTAAGGGTCAAAACGGTTTATCGTGCTGTATGAGATCTCGCGTTGTCATGAAGCAATAGGTAATGGTGAAGATTGATTCATGAGTCGGGGCTGTTTTAATTGGCACTTCATTGCTCACACATAATTATTAATATTAAGATAACAATATTGGTACTAATGCTAGGGTGGCCAAAGGCGGTCTTATCGCTGAAAGCGATCTCTTCCAGACAACCTTTGTTTCGTGTAACATGTGGAGAGAAAGACCGGAGGTAGTGTGCTAATAGTAAAAATGTAAGTAAAAAAAAAATATATAATATAATAAATAAATAAAAAACATCACTATGATATTGAGGGTAAAATGCACAAACATGTGAAATACAAAATAAAAGAACATCTTATACATATAAAAAAGATGCTTATGTAACATAGATTTGAAAAAGGCAAGAGGTTTTGCATGTCGAATGGCAGACGGCAGCTTATTCCAGAGACCAGCAGCTTTAATGGTAAAGGACTCATGGTAATATCCTGATCTAGTATGAGGAATCTCTAGCACATTATCCGTCCCAGACCGCAGCTCACAACGATGATTTTGAAACAGAACTTGGAAACGTTCCTTAACGTAAGAAGGACTAAGAGGATCATAAAGGATTTTATACTACGTTTAAATTCAGTTGTGTGGTCAATTTTCACAAACCGTATATAAATCTAATACGAAGATTTTGTAGACGCTGAAGTTTGTTGAGCATGTCCTCACTTAGATCAATGAGACAGTTTGTTTGGAGTTCGGTACAATAGACATCTGCCTTTATTCCTTGACCAGATCGGAAAAAACTATAGTGAATAACACCATGCTGAGACCACCAAACAGTAACCATTTTTTTATTCGTTTTACCTTTTTATTGATAAGTTTTGCTTTAGGTCGCTGTTATGGAATTTGACCTGGGGTCAGCCGTTAAATTTTTCTCTTACGGTTATCATAAAGAATCCACTTTTCACATGTCACAAGTCAATCCAATATTCCTTCATTTCAGTACCGATTCAACAATACAACACGAGTTGCAACACGCGTTTTTTTCTGCAGATCAGTCAAATCATGAAGCACCTATTTTTTTATTTTATTGATTTGACGCAAATGAGTTAATATTGTGGGTAAGGTAACATTAAACCATACCGCCAATTCCTGGGTAGTTTGACTAGGACCGGTTTCCACCATCCCTCTTAATTCATCATTATTCACCTGTGTGGGCGGTCTTCCTCGTGGCTCGTTCTTCAAGTCAAAGTTCCATCCATCACGAAAGTGTTTAAACTATAATCGCACGGTGCGTTCATTAGCAGACTCCTCTCCAAGCGTATCATTGATATTGCGGGCTGATTCTGCCGCGTTACTTTCGCATCGGAACTCGTATTTAAAATTTTCGCCGTATCCATCTTTCTTATCTAAGTTGAATACGAAAAATAATTGAAAGTCGATATTCAAATATTTCACATTTTTGAAAGAAGAACATCATAGAAACCACGTGAAAAAAGTTTCTTTCAAAAACTTCAAGCCATGAAAATTTTATGTCAATTCAAGGAACCTATTACAATAAAATGGCAATTTCATACTTTAACCCCTAAAACAAAACTTAATCGAAAACTGAAATCTACGCAAAATTCTTTGAAAAATGGTAACGCAATTTAGTTAAGAATAAAGGCCGTCTAGTATAGTAAAGCTTAAAGTTATTTCTTACTACATTTTATTTCATATCAAATCAAATTATTGATTGTCCATGAACTTAGAAAGTTACGATTGGTATGTCTTTTAAAATTCAAATAAAATACCAAAGATAATTATAGGAATTTCAAAGTATTTTAACAATGTCAAGTAATTCATTTTAACAATTATTATTGATAAATTAAAATTATCACGAAGTCATTTATTTACATTAGGTAATACAAAAAAATATATTTTTAAACTTAACCTTGACCAATAACGCCATCAAGTATAGCATAAAATATATACCTAGTTTGTTTTCTTTCGTATATAAAATGATTTGTGCTTAAATATTTTCATATTTATGTAAAATGTTATTTTTGTTATTAACCTTGTACTCAAATATCAATTTATATTACATATAAGGAATTTGTTATAAATAATATTAGATGGATTTATTAGAATGACGAATCAAATTATAAACAATGGTTCCTATAATGGTTTTCGGGATAAAATATAACCTATTACCTTCCTAGGAAGTTAACTACCCGAATACCAATTATCACCGATGTAGGTTCAAAAACAAAGAAGGTTAATACAAACGCTTTCATCCTTTGTGGAATTACCAAAAATCCGTTCTTAGTACACCTCTCCGTAATAAGATAAATGTACCCTTTTAAAATTCTTCTTCTTCTTTTTTATTATTGGCTTATCTGCGCATTTCGCACAATAGGGTATTTGACGCTTTTCTGAAAACTATTTTAAATGGTTGTTTGATACATTATAAATAAACTGTCAATATATTTCAAGAGAATCTGTTTTTTTTTTGATGAAAATAATTGTTAAAATTTAAAAAGCCAAAATCGCGCAAAAATCGCTGCTATATGTAATGGCGCTGATCACGTGGTATTTGTGACGTCACATGCCGTTAAATATGTAAAGGCGACATAACCTATTTATCAACTATTTATTTACGAAGTAAACGAAGTAAATAAATAGTATTAGAGAAGAGAAACTGAAATTAAATTTTATGATTTATATTTGTATCTACTCTGGTTTTGTTTATAAAAGTGAGCCACAAATTGTATGTATAAATACAAATTTTTCGTATCTCTAATAACACTGTTTTGACATGACAGCTTCCTGTTTACGTATGACGTCACATGCCGGTAAACAGAACCTGTTATTGGTTGCGACGATAACCAACTACAGGGCGTTTTCGTCGTTCATTAAAATTCCTACAAATGTTGCATTTTCTTTATGTTATTTTATTTAAGCTGAACGTATTTTATTTGCAGATTCTAAGAAATAAACTTATTTGTTAATTTCTTCTTCTTCTTCTTTTTTTAATTAATGGCTTATCTGCGCATTTCGCACAATTCTGCCAATGTCAAGTAAATAAATTAATTTTTACATGTAAAATGAAAATTAAATGAATGAAAGATGGCGATGATCATATGTAAAATGAAAATGAAACGAATGAAAGATGGCGATGCCTTGACATCGATCAAGACATTCCTTTAAAATTCAAATTCTCTACGACTGGCTGTACTTTGTCTGTCAGTCAGTATGTCAGGACATGTGTAGATAATAGCCTTTGATAAGTTATGTTACTTATTCAGAGATAAAAGCAAAGTTTTATTATATGTAACCTCTAACCAATGGCTGCAAGAATTTATCGATAAAAGGTTATATTGGGTTACAAAGGTGTATCTCATCTATTCAAAAGGGCTGAAAAAACGTTCTTAAATTCTCATTGGGACTGTATCAATTAATTAATCTACCGATCGATGAGCGAAGGAAATAGAAATATACTTTTTTTTACCGAAAACAACAAATGGTCATGTTCGTATAGATTTCGTAATATTAAGAGTTTATAAGCTACCGTATTTATATACGAATGGAATAGGAAAACAACAAAACTATACAAAACCTTATCTAAGATCTTGAATCCCTCCCTTTTAGGGGATTGCCTTTATTCAGAAAAGTATAAAAACAGCTGTAAAATTTAAAGTTAAAGGTCGAAAATGCAATGACGGCGCTTCCTGTCAGGCATGGCGCCAACCAGACTTCGATTCGCCAACTAAATGTACCATTCTAAGTTGTATCTTCACTCAAACAATGGAAATAACACGTAATCTTGTTAATGGTACAGTTTATTTTTCTATAACAGCTCATCGCTTAGTAGCAGAAAACGCATAGAGGTTATATTGAAAAGTCAATACTGAAACCGTTTTGATTTGCCACTGGAATATCATCACTTTGACAACGGTATAAAAGTGAAGTTTCATTGTACCTTTTATAAGAGTGATAAGTCATTTTGTTGTCGCGCAGGAGGAAATCTTGGCGCCAGACTGGTCGGCGCCATCTTGCCATTTGTGAGGCAAAGGCATTACTTTGTTCAACTTGCTTCCGCGTTCTTACTATTATGCTAGCTAATTTACGGTTATGGAGGCCTAACTTTTGCAATGGGATTCTGTGGGGTCGTTATAATTTACGTACAAACTAAAAGCTTTACGTTCAATTAAGTAGATAAGAACTTTACTAGAATTTCTTAAATTAATTAATTTATTTGTCTCTGGCTTGTTAGTTAACTGCTACTGATTTTAATGGTTTGTTAGTAGATTATTTGGTGGTTGAATTCCTTTGGATTAGTCCAAGCTTGGGTTTCATAAGAATTACTAAATTAAAATCCATTAGCCTTTACCCAAAAAAGCTGGGTAATGTCGGCAAGAGATAGAGATAATATTAGGGGTTAAAGTAAAAATTGCCGTTGTATTGTAATAGGTTCCTTGAATTGACATAAAATGTTCATGATTGGAGGTTTTCAAATGAAAATATTTTCACATGGTTTCTAAGATGTTTTTCTTTTAAAAAATGTGAAACATTTGAATATCGACTTTCAATTGTTTTTCGTATTCAACTTGGATAAGAAAGATGGATACTGCGAAAATTTTGAATACGAATTCCGACGCGGAAATAACGCGGCAGAAACAGCCCACAATATCAATGTTGCTTTGGAGAGATTACAATAGTTACAAGATTACAATAGTTGTACTTTGACTTTAACCTTAGATCATAAACTCATTAGATTGAGGCACACTGTCTAACTGTTATTTTCATAGTTGCCAATTCGTCTCGTCTCGAAATGTCAAAATATATACTTATTTCCTTTTCAATATGCTAAAAATTATCAAATAAATATTTGCTAATATTTATACGAGTATAATAATAAAAAGTGTGTATTGTTGCAATATTGAAGGATACATGTTTAATTTTTCTGTTTTATAAGTATTGATATTTTTCTTAACTTTCATTTGTCACTATAAGTAATAAGTTGAAATTAAGGTTTTAGTAATGTTATCAAAATTAATTACTTTTTTGTAGATTTAATAGATTAAGCCCACAATAACCATTTTTTTGCTTTATAATATGATAGATATAGGACCAGAACAGAATCTGCCGAATTGAAAAGTACCGAAAAAACAGTTATTAAACTCCGTCGACAACTTCTCAATTTTGTAGAAGAAATATTCATAGGATTATACTGTACATAAAGTTCATCAAAGCACTTCGAAAAGATAATGGCAGTTCGTGAAATCGTATAGGTTGTGCTATATATACCTAAGCGCTAAACACGAAGATCAGTTGGCAAATGCAGCAAAAAATGGCCGCACCACTAGTGGCAAAAGCCAGTGGCAGCGGAAGCAGGAGCATCCGCACCGGTCTCCGAATCTATAACGCAATCCGACAGTGAACTTTGTAAACTTACGAACAATGACGGTAACGAATTTAATTAATTTAGAACTAGATTTACCTGTTCAACTTTCTTATGATTTAAACCTATGTTATTTTTTGAAATATTTTTAATGTTAGTAGCGACATGTAAATCGCTAATAAAACCTAAATTATTAATTGGTCAAGATGATTATAATTTAATAGCACCTATTTGTAAATAATGAGGAAGTATTTTAAGAAAAAAAAGAAAGCACTAAAAATTACCTCTCTAGATAGCGACTCTACCAAAAGTTAATTTTTGCACCCTATTTAAAGGCAAATAAATGATTATTATTATTGCAGGAAACGAATGAACCAAAGATAGTCATTTCCGTTCCTTTTAACTAACATATTAAAAATTTGAAATTTGCAAAGTTCGAAACTTAGATATCAATACAAACACGAAAAAGTAAAATAAATATGAGTTGTTGAGTTGTGCTCACCACACTTTGAGGTTATAAACAAAAAGAAATTACGGTTAGTATTTGATGCAACCGCAAAATGTATTTTTTTTAAACGACTATTTACTTGAATGTCCCGATTTATTGAATTCAATATTTGGTGATGATGTTGATGATTAGATTTAATGTGCGACAAAAAAGATATATTTTAAGAATAAAAATAAAGATAGAGGATCCAATCGCGCTTAGATTTCTTTGCAAGGAAATTATGACGTCACTTATTTTTGGGGCAATTGCTCTCCATTTGTGGTACAGTATATTAATGTAAATAAAAATACACTCCGTTTTGAAAAAGATTTGCTAGATGCAGTGAACGCAATGAAATGAAATAAAAATATCTTTATTCAATTAAGCTTGTTACAAGCACTTTTGAATCGTCAAAAAAAATTTTTTTCCTCTACCACTTGTTCAGGACGTCTTTTAGCTGACAAGAAGAACAAGCGAAAGAAACTTATTCTCTTTATCATAAGTAATGACATTTACAAAATCATGTCATTACCAAGATAATATGTATTATCACAATAATAAACACAACTTTCAAAGTCTGTAGGTCATAGTTTGTACATATAATTAGTCGTTATAGAACAAAGCGAAGGCTATTAGTTCCATGCATTGCGGTCCTTAAAATAATCATCAACTTTAGAATAAGTAATAAGCCTTTACTCATAAGTATGTTTTCTACATGAATTTTAAACTTATTTATGGTTTTCTCTGGTTTTCTGAAGTCTGAAATAAAAGAAAGAAAATCAGTATATCAACGATTATGTAGATAGTTTTTCAGATAAGAATAAATGTACTAAAGTCGTAAAAGAGATTTCGTTCATGCATAGACAAGGTGGGTTCGAGATGCGTAATTGGTTAAGTAACCTATATAAACATCAATCCTCACAAACTTATTCATTAATTATATTAGTAAAACATGCACAAATTATGGTAAAACAAAAAAATTGGGTTACAAAATAATGCCACATATGTCACAAAATTCACATGTGATGATAATAAAATGTCATTGGATTTTAAAATGTGGATATCTGCATACATAAACTATTTGTATTTCGTTAGATATCAATATGTTGATATTTTCGATATCGATAGTTTACCTATATATCGTTGCATCCCTATGTACTAGCAAAAACAGCAATAAACAACAAGAAGTAAAACAAAACGGATCTATATAATGGGCTTATATATTTAAAGAGTATTCATAAATAAAAAATAATATGAATTTGTCACTTTGACTCTCGTTAAAAAAAACTGTATGCTTACATTGAAAATTTTGACGTAAGCACATGAAATGTAGCTGATCATTGTCCTATCTCCAAATTTCCGAATGTAGCTGATTATACATGTAACCAGAAATAATTTGGCAGACGGAAGTATGATGCTTCAGTGAAATTATCAGTACAATAAAATTCCTCCCCCTATCGTGTGCCAAATTATACTAGTTAATTAAGTCAATGTCGCCGTTCTTCGCATTGGTGTTGTTGGCGTTCGTTCATAATGAAGCTGCTTACATTGAGTACCAGGATTCAGAGGATGATCAAAGTGATGATGCTGATTTCGACGATCAGTACGAGTCGGAAGGTAAAGGTTTCAACCTATAGATAGAAATATTAAATAATAGCTGTTTACCCACTAAGCGCCATCTCCACGAACGAGAATCAACAAGCCATGAATTTTTATATACTCTTTATGAACGCGTCTCTACACGACGATGTTATTGCGACAATACGTTGTGATGTTAATTGATGTGTTAATGTGCTGTTATTGCGATGTTGCGGCGATATTATGCCAAGACTCACACTCAGCAAAACATTCAAACACAGCGTCATTTTAGCGTTGCCTCTCGCCAGGCAACGACGTTACGTATCGACAAGAGTTTGAGACACTAATTATTTTGCTCTCGTCTAACACCTAACTGAACTTTTTCAACAAATAAAAGTACAACGCATCGTTAAGGAAATGCGGCGATTCCATTACAAGTCATCGCGGATAAGCTGCGAGTCCGTCACGTGTCGTGACGATACGCGGAACAAACGCTCGTTCGTGGAGATTTGAAGATGGAATCGCGCACTCAAGTATAGACTATGTCACCCGTAAAGCTTCACGTAGAAAAAACGATTCTTAAATTCGGCCCAGTAGTTTCAGAACCTATATATTCAATACAAACAAACAATAAATCTTTCCCCTTTACAATACTAGTTTAAAAATGAATTACAACACTATTGTCACTCCAAATTAGGTAGTTTTTAGATCTTGCATTATGAAATATGAAACAAAGAAGGTATAACAACAACCAGACCCGAAACAATGTAGAAAAACTATTTCCCAGGCCAAGAATTGAACCTCAGAGATATTTTGAAACGGCATGCGAGCCAAATGACCACGGAAGTTGTCTAAAGTAAAATCATAATTTGGCACGACATTGTTGCTTAGGTCTTAATTTTTTTCTCAGGTGCATTTAACTTCACAAAAAATGATATTTCATATGAAAATTATATATAATATAAAAAGTTGAAAAAATCTATTTTATTAACTTTGCTGCTTGAATTGAGATCCGAACTAGTAACTTGTTAACCGGATGATACCTAGAACATTGGTGAAAATAAGGCCTGCTTGTAGCAATGCTGTAGCACAAAATAGGAAAATAATAGTAAAGTTACTAATAGGTTAGGGCAAAAGTTTTGTCGCATTTTATATGAAAATTAAAACATTTTTAATAAAAGTTTTTTACATTTAACTTGAATATTTAAGTAACATATTGTTCGATAACTTTTTGCCATCTTGTAGCTAGAGACATGATCCCATTGCTATAGAAATTTTTGGGCTTCTGATCAAAAAACCGCGACAAATAGTTTTAGCAGTCCTCGCATAATCACCTAGCACATCCTAAAGAATTCTAAAGACACCTAAACAGGTGGAAATCTTAAGGCAGGGTCAGGACTATACGGCGGATGCATTTACACCTTCCAGCCAAACTATCTTAATTTTTGCTCAGTGGCAAAAGATATGTGAGGTCTAGTATTATCATTAAAAAAAAACCACACCTCTTCTGTTGACTCCTTTTGGCCACTATCTCTCAACTTCTTGCTTTAATCTCATCAGCTGTTCGCAGTAGAGTTCTGAAGGTAACAGCTCATAATGAATAATTCGTATGTTCTTGTCGTACATGATCCACTTTTCATCACCAGTAATCAGCTTCTCAAAAAATGGTTGGGTTTCATTACGACGTAATAAAGAATCACAAATGTGTTCACGGTTCATTAGGTTTCTTTCAGTGAGCTCGTGAGATATCCAAATGTCTAACTTTTTTGTGTACCCAGCTTTTTTCGAATGCGCCAAAACTGTTTTGTGGTCAATCCCCAGTTCTTAAGCTACGTCGTGATTACTTGCTGCACTTTTTCAAAAATGGCATTCATTTTATCCGTGACATGGAACGACGTGCTCCTTTGACAACAAAATTTCCAGACTGAAAACTGTTAAACCAATTTGTGCCACTCTCACAGAAATTGCATTAGGTCCATAAACGTCACAATTTTTTTTAGCAGCTTGCCTTGAATTTTTACCTTATATGTAATAAATTTTTAAAATAAAACGAATTTCTTAGATTCCTTAGATTATTTTGACAATAAGAAAAACAAATGAATGTCACACATTATCCAAATTTGAATTCTGTGTTAAAATTTAAACTTTTTAATGATATTGAAACAAGCCAGATACAAATGGTATTTATGCATACTACTAGCTTTCGCCAGCGACTTCATTCGCGTAGTCCCTAGGGTAATGTTAAGTGGTATAAAAAGTATCATATTATCTAAGTCAGCTAACACTCTATCTGTATACAAAATTTCATCAAAATCCGTTCAGTGGTTTCGGCGTGATTAACGGACAAACATCCAAACAAAGAAACTTTCACATTTATAATATTAATAGATTAATAGAATATGCGAAAAGACTTAACCAACGTAATATATTATAGAATACAGTTTATATTTATTTGATCACGTGTGACTACTTGATACCGATCATGTGTAATTAGATTTTTTATATTACTGATATTTAAAGTGGCGGATTTTCACAGGCCGTATTGACTGGAACCTGGGGCAGCAGATTTTAGGGGGCGGAAAATATGACCCAATTTTTTTTTGTTTTATAGAAATAAAAGAAAAAACATTATTTCATCTAAATATTTAGGTGATCTGTGATAAAAAGCGTATTGTGTTTTGTTATAAAAGGAAAACTACTAATTCGATTTCGATAATATTTAATTGAGACCACCTCGGTGAATTAAACTCTCGAATAAAAAAAAGAATTTTGATAATCGATCAACAATTGGCGGAAAAATCAGTTAATTTTTGAGTATACATATACTGATTATTTTATATTGATTAATTGCTATATCTCTAAAATACTGTTACGCCTCAGAATAATAACGCAGATACGGCCACAGAAATTACGTTACAACCACAAACTTACGACTCACACCCATTTTCACTAACCTAGAATAAGGCACAGCTTACACTAGGAAAAGCCCGTTATTACAAATTGCCTTAGTAGATTACTTTTGATTTCAAATAAATATGTTTTTCTTTTATCCCTTGACATATTTTTTTCTGTCATATACGCAAATGCCTAGGGCAAGGCGCCGCATAACGTATATTATAACTTTGGACATTGCGTAATTTCGTTAGGTGGATCCTGGTCATTTTTACCATAGGCGATTGCTAAATATTTGGGCGACTCCTAATTTCATAATAAACATCCATTCAAATTGTCATTAGTTAAAAGCAACACTATCGATATGGATTTAGAACATTCATTATGGCTTAAAGTCGTCATTGAACCTTAATAGTCATTTGTGCAATTAGGCGATAGTCCAAGTATCTGCCGATGTAATGAGGATGATAGAGCACAAATCATAAAGTTGCAATTTCATTAACAGAATAAATGTAATTACTATGATTGTGAACTAAACTAGCATATCGAATTTTAGATGTTAGTAGAGGCAAAAATTTAATAACCTCCTAGCGACAAATTTGTAAATCCGCCACTGGATATTTATTTTGTTGAAGTAGTAGTTTGTATTTGTTTAGTTTAGTTTGTTTATTTTAGAAAGTGCTCACTATAAATTAACATCTTTACCAACTACAGACTAAACTAATACTATAAAGAGGAAAGATTTTATTGTTTGTTTTTTTTTTTTGCATCGACTAGCTCCGAAACTACTACACCGATTTCATACACGGGTGACATAGGCTATAATTTACGCGAGCTAAGCCGTGAGCAAACAGCCATTCCTAATATAAAAATAAAATAAAAAAATAGATATCATCACGGCACCGACTCGACCATCTCTCTCAATGTCAGAGGAGTCCATCTCGCATTCCAGGAACAGAAGATTTGGAGAACAAAATCCGGGAGCAAGGACTTTGAGCTTAGATGAGATTCGAGACGTCAGAGGTAACACCGTGTTTTTCTTATTATTCTCTTTAGCTCTTTACTTTATGGGATACGACTATTATCAATGCTACGGGATATATTTCGTTCCGTTTTACTACTTTGACATGTATCTCAATGACGACGAACAAATGAAAGTATAATGATTATCGTTTTGGCAGTAATATTAGTTATTAGTCACCAAAAGACATGTCAAAATGTCAAAGCAGTAAAATTAAACGAAACATTGCCGGAACATCTAGAGTTAGATGGTCGCATCCCTGATTACAGTGGTAAAAATATATAATATGTGTCAAAAGACAAAAGACACATTTTTGAGTGTGGGTAAAATTTCATCAAAATATACACAGCTAAGTTTTATATATCGATAGAATGAGCATCATAAAGATATTATTTCGAATCGAACTGCTAACCATCTACAACTGCCGACAGGAAGTGCGATCGGATGGGAGGGGTGGCAAAATGAAAAAAAAAACGCTTCGTCTATTATTCCTACTATTAATAAATAAACGTGTTGAGAGTTATAATGTCATGGAATTAAAATCATTCTGCCTACGATTCCGCAATTTTACATCATTCCGCACTATCCACAGTTATATATTTGTTTAAAATTGTTATTTTTTAAATTTGCAGGTGCTATCAAAGAGCTTCTAGCAAACCACCAATTGAACCTTATGACAACATACAACACGGAAACAACCACCGATTATGCTTCTCCGAAATACGAAGTACTTACAAAAGATTTTACAATTACTGGGCCTACGACAAAAATAAGGTTAGAAGACCCTACTAATTTCTACGATGACGTAATAGGAAGAATAATGGACCTTGCGAAGAGACAAGGATTTTTGACGGAATCAACAACCCAATTCCAAACTCAAGCTATGACAGAGGATGTACAAACTATGGAATCATGCGATAGCATATACATTTTATCAAATCCAAAAATTGTAGCGAAACCGAAGAGAATGCCGGACGTTTCATTTGCGTACAGTAGAACACTAGGCCGTTATGAAAAAAATCAAAGTTTATTGGAAAGAACAAAAAGTTTTCCACAAACAGTTCAACATAAAAAAATTGAAGCTATTTCTCATATCAGACGGACGCTTTCTGACGCTACTCAAGATTTCGACGCAATGTATTATGGAATACCTGAAAGGATTCAAAATATCCCGCAATTAACTCAAACTACTACCGGAAGAACTACAGAAAGGTTCATAACGTTGAAATCGCTGTTTCCGTTGGATGAAAAATGGGGAGTCAATAATTTAATTCCGAAAGTAGACAGGAAAAAGCATAGAGAAGTTGTGAGTATTAGAAAGAAGAATGATGGTAGAGAAGGTAGCAAAGGCGAATTTTCGGAAGGTGGTGGCATAGTTGGAAGAAAGGTTGGCAGACAAGAGGATGGCAAAGGAGCAGGAGCTAAAGGAGAAAGAAGTAGCAGGAAGTTTAGGCGCAAAGTAAAAGGTGGTGCAGGAGCTATGGGTATCGCAGAGATAGAAACTACTACAGTCACGACTACGACTGTGACTACGACTACGACTACGACCACGACTACTCCTAGCACTACTAAATTTGTAGAGCCGGTAAAAATAGAGTCTGGTGGAGGAGATACTGGTGGAGGAGATACTGGTGGAGGAGATACTGGTGGAGGAGATACAGGTGGAGGAGATACTGGTGGAGGAGAGAGTGGTGATGGAGAGGATAGTAAAGAAGGGAGTGGTGTAGATAACGGGTCTGGAGAAGAGGACGACGAAGAAGAAAGTTATGACGAGGAAGTGGTTTTTTCACGATCTGCTGGAACTACAACTACAACTATTGCAACTACAACTAAGCAAGTAGCTGTTCCACATTACTACCCTTACCCTTACTCGGCACAATTTATACCGAATTCAACAACATCGTATATTACTAAAATATGGAGAACGAGAAGACGGAGGACAACAACTAAGCCGACGACAACATCTACTATGCCACCGTTCAATATTCCTGGTTTAGTTGCAATTATATCAGACCTTACCGATAACTTTGAAACTAACATTACAGATATGTTCAAAAAGACTTTACAGAAATACAATATACCGACTTGCCCTTCTGACGAAACGACAGAGACACCGATATTCCACGATCTCGTCAATGCCACAGTTGTTTCAAAGGTAAGGTGAATGTTATTTAAATATTCATTATTTTGGAGATGCGGTTAACTTTGGCGCGAAAGAGAGTCCAGAAAGAATATATTTATTGTTATTTTTCATGTTTCTGTGTACTCCAAGGGTATAAAGATTTCATAGTACTTGCGAACTACTAATTTACTAGCCAGGGCAAACGAAATAGTAGATATTGTGACGAATATGTAATATTTAATTTATTGGTTCACTTTCTCGCGTATGTTATAGGTTACCAGTGTTCGTCAAGTTAGCAGTCCCACCAATCGAATTTAAACGTCTTATGTATTCACAAAACTTACACACAGTTTAAAGAATAGTGTTAATAGTATAGTGCCCGGCACGTAGCAAACCAAACATGGCTTCCACTGCGCAGGTATAATAGAGTAAAAATTTTAAACTGGAAATACATATTCCGTAATAAATACGTATGACTTGTAAACCAAATAAAAAAATCTTTATCAAAACAAAGAACATACTACCTTTTTAAAATGTAATTTATCGATTATGTAACAATATTAACATAAATTACAATTCACTACAATAGGATTTCTCTATACCGATGTATAAAAAAGGGAGTAGACGATTTTTTAAAAAATATTTTCATATTATAGATATGCTTGAAATATATTTTAAAAAATTATCTTACATATATTAATTTAAAATCTTAAAATAAAATTTATGTTCAAAAGTTCCCACTAAAACGGTAACAGAAACAATAACAACAAAAAACATTGTTCTTTGCATGTCAATGTCAAAGACATATTGATGACATTTTCCTTAGAGGACTATGATGTCACGCGCTGTTGTTGTTGTGATGACAATGTGTATAAATTTAGTGTTATATTATAAATAAAATAATCACATAATAAATTCAGTTTGGAGGCCCCGTAAACAAATCGGTACAGTCTGTAGTAAAAAATCCGTCGTATAAAAATTTCACAACAACGACAAAATTCTTTTTAGTAATAAATCACATTTATTAGTGAAAAATGTACATTTCCGAATGTCGGGAAGCGAATTTACAGGGAAACGTCAAGTGGGGGGTGACAGGCCCTGTTGCTATGGTTAAATTCCTCCTCCCGCATACTTCACCTCCTTTCATACCTACTTTCGTTTTCTGCACAGAATTTACTTTCGTGCCGGGTATTGTATTATAGTTAAAGAGTAAAACTATATTACAAGATATTCGAATGATATCTTAGAGTGCAGCTTGACGTCTAGCTGGCAGGCATAATCATAATTGCATGTAAAAAAATAATGACTTTTAACCACACTTGCCCATTTTTTTTTGCCCATGAACCACACACAAATAAAAACAATAACCAAATATCACGTATTATTTCAACAGCTCATGACGAGACATTCGAATTTAAAACTTTTGTTGACAGTGCTTCGTATGCGGAATGACGGAGACCGAAATTCCACGTGATTCATACTGTTCGGATGCATTTTCCATCGATTTCATACCACTCGTTCCAATGGACCCCCAATCAAGGGGCCGTATTGTGCGCTTCAGAAAATACTGTCGTTACTTAGATGTGTAAGTTACACCAGAATATTGTTAAATTAAAAACAACTATGTTTCGCAGCTTTTTTGTTTGCGATTTATGGTTAACATATTGAAGTAGTGTCTCTTAGCATCAGCTTTGCACGGTATTAAAAGTTGGTATTTTTTGTAATGGCATCACCGAAGCCTTCTTCTGTTTTGAGTACTAACTCGACTTTCTGTCAATTTGAGTCATTCCGTGTAGCCGCGCTCAAGCCTTTGCAAGTCTAACAATACTTGCTGCAAAAAGTGATAAATCTTTGAACATGGGGAAGAAAACGAATGATGGAGAAGAAGTGAATGGCTTTTTTTATATACATAACATGGAATCAATAGAATTTCTACACTAAATGACGTAACTTCGGACACATGAGGAAATTCGAATTCGGGTTTGCATTTTTACAGTATCGCAGGGCTGTTTTAACATATGGAAGCCCCAGTATGTTACATATAAACAAGATTTAGATTCGGATTCAGGTAAAGTTAATTAAACACCTTAATTATCACACAAGGAGTACCTTTGTGAATTATGAGGGATGGGATGTCGTTGTGTCATAAAATAATCAGTCTGGAGGATAGGCCACTTTGCTGGATATGACATTACTGTTCGACATTTGCAGTGGGGCCATTGACTACAAAGAACTTACATGTCGCACAAACTATGCACAAAACTCAATTATATTTCGATTGCAGATAACTTACAATAAGCGTTTTGCAACTGTTATTATACTTTCCAGTAAAAGTTAAACATCCTTTAAAAATCGAATATAAAATTATTGGTAGATTGGTTCTAGATAAAAATTTCTAGATTCTTCTAGATAGTCTTGCTGTATTTGGTCATTTTTGTTAATGTAATTAAATAATGAAAATCCGTAATGGGAATTAAGATGCGTTAAATTTGTGCTATTATTATTAAGGTAAGAAATCGCTGTTGATTTTGTTTTTGAAATAAACAAATAACTATCTTCATAAGTAAGGTGCTCTCTGTGTTCTAAAAAATAAAGTATGATGACCTGCATGAGACCCAAATGTTATCTTTTAGTGTGCGCGCATACAATATCTCCCTCTCGATCTATCCGAGAAAAGACACGTTTGGTGTAAACAATGCGTTACTCAAGTTTGTCAAGCTACGAGTACTATTGTATATATGAGTAAAAATCCAGTTGTTTCCAAATAACGAGTATTTTGAAACAAAAGAAAGTTCATTAATTACCTATTTTTCGAAAAATTATTATTCAAAAAAGGAATATGCTCCGCGCCTTGATAAGTTAAAATTGGATACCTTGTGAAACCTCTTTATCTCAATTTCAATAACACAATCAACAAAATCATATTCTAGATTTGAGCTATGTAATTTTATTTTTTTATTAAAATATAAATAGTACCCTAGAACCGCAATAAAACATAGTTTCAATTGTTTTGAACCATATGTGATGAACATTACAAAATCAATTTGATAATTTACTATAGATTTAATCACATTGCCCTCCCATATTGCGCATTTACATATTACTGCACTCGAATTTTTCATAATGCCCAATCATTCAGTTTGTCCATAAATTGATGTTGAGTGTAAATAAATCCCTATATGTTAAATATTTATTTAATTTAAAACACTGTCTTGCAATCGGACTATCGTTGTGTATATTGTATTAAATTTGACGTCAAATTACAGTGACAATTTCTATGAGAACGCGACGGAGCCTCGCTCAGTGTTTGGACGCTTTACCGGTGGTTGCTCAGTGCGTTGGATCGACATAAGCAGTGTATACACACAGCGCGCTTGTCGTAACCGACGTCACGCCACTACCGGCAGACATTTCGGGAGCAAGCGCATGGCCAAACTCGAAATGGCGCTGCATGTGAGTACATTAGCAATGTCTATAGTATATAAATTATGTTCATGAATAAATCATAACCGAACTTACGAAAGCATTAACTTTTGTAAGGCTTGAACATCTTGAAGTTTTTGAGTAAGCTTTCGAAACAATAAAGCTTTGCAAATGAACACTTTAGCAGTTAATAAAGCTGCTACATAAGATATGGCATTTTTAAGTATGTAAAACTATTTTAAGTATACTCGCCCGTCATCATCAACCCTTCATCCCTCATCAGCATAGCCACTTCAGCTGCAAGCTAGCCAACACCAACCTACATCGATTGGACTGCAGTCCCCGGGCTAACTACACCTAGCTCGGAGGGAGACAATTATCCTTTAGTCTCCCTTGCCAGTTGTCTCCATCATCAAGTAGGAACTACACCTTCAACCTTACGGTTCCTATAGGCCCACCCGGCTTCGCACCAGTACCAAAGTCTTCATATGGACCCCTAACGTTTTTGTAAATATTCATTCTATCGTCTATGTTCATCAGAGACCGTGAAGGATTCTAATGGTTTTTCAAATCGGTCCAGTAGATTCAGAGCCTTTCTAATAGTGATGATGACTAATTTTTGATTGTCTGTCTATCTGGTAAATTAACACGATTAAAAAAAATGCTTTAGCTATAAATCACGGCGATACATTTGTTTAAATGTTGCATGACGTCACACCTTTGTACTATTTTCTACATAGCTGTGACGCAGCATGCTCAACTTTAATGCCTATTATTTAAATATTTCTAATTAAATTTTAACAAAAAATACGAATCTTTCTTCTGTATAATATTAATGTAGGTCGTGAAAAAATATCATTAGATCATTAGGAGCTCGATAGCGCAGTGGTTAGTGCGCTCGGTTTCCGATACGGTTGTTATGCTTTCACAAGGGTCGGTCATAGGATGGGTGACCAAAAATTTATTATCAAAAGCTCTTCCGTGCTTTGGAAGGCACGTTAAGCCGTTACTCCCGGCTGCATCTGCAATCGTTAATACCCACCAATCCGCAGCGGGCACACGTGGTCATGATCCATTCACTCTATTTGATTACATCCTTAGGTAAGACCTGAGCCCTGAGATGATGAAAAAAATGTAACTTCATATATTGTCTCTATTGGTCTGATTGTTGTGCCTCGTACACTCACAGGCACAATTTACCGCCCACCTTCTATTTCTTTCAATTCACAGAAATCGTTAAACTTCGGCCATATTTTATGAAAGGAATGTTAAAACTATACGAAAAAAAAACAACAAATATTGGAAAAAAAAAGTTTTTTTATTAAAGGATGTTTACCAATCATTTAACTTCTTAGAGCCGGTTTGTCAACCAATCCATGATGTCTTGAACATCCGATTGGGGCATATTGTGCCACTCCTCTACTGCAGCCGTTTTTAGAACTCCTCCAGTCGTAGGGACTGGTACTTTTGCTCAGACACGTCTTTTAAGGTTGTCCCAAATGTGCTTTATTGGGTTAAGATCGGGACTATGTGCGAGCCATGGTAAAACTAGAATCCCAACCTCATTAAGGTACTCACTGACGGATATTGGGTTATGGCGATGTGCGTTGTCATGCATTTATTTGAAATTGTCACCAATTAACGAAGCGAAAAGTATGACATGGTTTTGAAGAACATCTTCCACTTATCTTTGAGCATTTACACTTCCTCTATCGAAAACAACAGAATCGGTACGAGCCTCATATGAGATACCTCGCTATACTCTATGGACCCTCCCTGGTAACTTACTGTTTCAGTTATAGCGCATGGAGTAAACCTTTCATTTTGGCGCCTGTAGACACGCTGACGTTCATCTTAAGGCTATTCTGCTCTCATCTGTGAATAGTACGTTTTTCCATTCCTCTACAGTCCAGTAAGCATATTCTTGCATAAAACTAAGTCAAGCTCTACGGTGTTGTGGGAGCAGTTGTTGTGCGCGAACTGAACGAAAAGCCCTTAAATTACTAACTGCTCGTCTTCTTCTAGTGGTGCGTTCACTAACACTGACATTTCTCACCTCAAAAAGACGTACGAGCTATCGAGAGAAATCGCTTTTAGACCGCTACTGAATAGCGGTCGAAAAGCGATTTCTCAACACATTGGTGACAAAGAAACGGTCATCTCGCGTCAAGGTGCATTGATGTCGGTCTGCGGATGTATAAGCCTGTCTTCCGAAATCGTCTGATGGCATGTTGTACCGTAGTTCGAGGTACACAGACTGTGCGAGCAATAATGCTGGCTATATCTCGCATCAGATAAAGACACTGCCCTAGCTACATCAGTTGCATCGAGTGGCATTTTTCGCAATCACAAACACTATAATTTCAAATTAAACAATATTCGCCCACTATGACAGAAAATATTATTTCCTTAGGTGACACAAATTTAGGAAAAAAATAATGGTATAAGTGTATTATTTATTGCTAGAGTACCCACTTAAAAAAAATAGTTAATGAGCCATAGTTGACAAAACCAAACAGGGTGACGAATGATACAGGTGGGCGGTTAAATGTGCCTGTGACTGTATAATATTCCATGCTCATACATGCAACGTGTAACAAATAAAACGCACATCCATAAATTTTTAAACATTTATCACTAACTTGCACTATTTTATTTACGAGAAATATTGAAGTGAGTCGAATGACTATGATTGTTTTTTGTTATACTACTTAGTTCTTACGAATTACAAAAACAACATAATTCGTACATCCGCCCTAAATAATGAAGGCATTTTCTCATAACATATGGATCGTCGATTGTTCAATAACAAATATTAATCGAGTAAGTGTTATGTGAAAATATTTTGGTCCGGGGATATTGGACCTGTTCATATAAATACATATCCGACTTTTAATGGAATATTAAAATATTAGATATTATAAACTTTTAAAAGAAACAAAAGAAGGAACCAGTGTATTAAATCAATGACAAATATAATATATCAAATTGTTCTGTGATAATTTTTATTTAAATGCGGCATCATCACTACGCTTTAGGCCCAAATGCAATTTTTTTGTTACTTTTGTGACCGTGAACGTTTGAGTGGTTAAACAACCTTATAAGAAAATACGTTTGTGGTAAAAAAACCGCATACAGGAATTTTGCGTTTATATACTCAAACATTATTTATGTACGGACAGTTATAGGCAATAGGATAGGTTTAAGGTAATTAGTTAGTAGGTTGCATTATGCTTTTGTGTATTATTGTCTATGTGTATTGCATATGTGTACTCAAGCTGGCTAAGTAAGTTTTAAACCACTGTACGCTCAAGTCACATTAAAATAAAGCTTGTTTTTCTTTGTTATTAATATTTTACACGCAAAGAATATAGTGCATTTGAAAAATTAGTACATTAACTCAAGAATATTTTAAATTTGTCAGGACTGTCATGGTTACAAGTGATTATAATTTACTTGATTCTGATTCAATTTAGGGAAGAAAATACCTATAATGTAAATTACTGAAATCGAATCATCTGTTTTTGAACAAATTACTTATGGATGTGCATGAATAATGTTACAGAAGACCTACTCTGTTTCTGCCTAATACGACTCTAAAGGAACACATTTTTCGATAATAATGAATCGTAGGTAGGACCCTGACACTGCATCTGATGCACAGATAATATTGACGCAAATGATTTAAAAAAAAATGTAAAAACGATTCGAAATTTTTGCAATTTTTGTTCGTAGACAAACAGAGTAAGTAGCCCCTCAGGTTGTATACATACATCAATATCGTGCAGGGATATTTTAATTATTCTTAATTTTTTATATTTTTATAAAGCCCATTTATTAGCGTAGATTATAGAATAAAACATAATTATTTTTTTAACTAAAAATAAATTAAGCAAAGACGAAAAGTAGAATAATGGTAAAAATAACGATAAATGTGTTTTTCAAGAAAAAGTGAAATATATAGCGAAATCATTCCGTTATTTGCAATTTTGCGAAAATCAATAGTCAGTAAAACCACCCATGACGTTAACAACGGTCCTGCAACGATTTTTCATGCTTCGAATCAACTTATCAAAGTTTTGCTGCTGGATATTGTTCTAGGTCCTACAAAAATGCAAAAAAAGTTGCTCTTAAGTGACAATGTTTGTAGGTATATTCTTCAAAGCCTTTCTTTGGAGCATGTTCCACGCGTGTTATATGGGGTTTAGGTCTGGTGATTGCGCGGGCCAGTCTAAGGCCGATACATCGTGCTCCTGCAGCCAGCTGGTGACCACTCGCGCTGTGTGGGAACGAGCATTGTCGTGCATGAGCGTGAGTTCTTGACCCATTTGTAGTCGATATGAGTAGACTATTTTTATTAGCACTTGGTTGAGGTATTTTTCAGCGGTCATGGTGTTTCTGCTCCAAACGAGGTCTGTTCTTCCACCAACACGAATTCCTGCCCAAACCATTATCGTCCCGCCATGGTATGGATGGACTTCCTAAGGGTGTTGCAGGCGGCTCTCACAACCAGGAGTTCACCATACGCGTACTCTTCGCGAATCAGGATGGAAACCGAATCGGGACTCGTCGGTTAGCAGCACTACAGGTCACTGGCTACCTTCCCAGAGCAAATGTTTACGTCCTCGGCGTAGTATAGGAACACGAAGCGGTCTGCGAGTCTTCTCCTCACTATTTGATCACTCACAAGCAACTAGTGCTCTGACTAGAGCCTTTGAAAAAACTGCAAGGCCGTAACATTTGGTTGCCTTCTCGCAACAATTTTCAAAAATCGGTCTTGTCGTTAGGTGGTTACGCGCTTTCAGCCACTTCACCAGTAGCTCGATAACGTGACCATAACCGTGATATCACGTTTTATTTTGTTCCGATGTCCTCAGCAATACTCTGTTGAGTAGCCCCAGCTTGGAGCATACTTACTGTCCTTAACATTTCCTCTCTTGTTAAATGGCGTCACTGCATAATGCATACAGTAGCACAAATTCAAATTAAACACTAACTTGTTTTAAAACTTTCGATTAACACAAAAATTCTTCAAAAACTATGGTAGGTAAATTGAAAACTTCGAACTTCGCTTGAATTATGCCGCGCAAATGCTTGTTTGAAATTATTTTTTTTTAATTCAAATTTAGAATCATCAAAAAAGGCGTACAAAATAAGTTTTCAACATAAGATTTTAAAAGCGGCTACTATTTTTTGTATTTAGAACTTTATACAAAATATCCCTAGACGATGTTGATGTGTGTAGTTGCTCCAGGTTTCCTTAATGAAAGTTTTAATTTTGCCAATTACAGGATATCTTGCCAATTACATAATATACATGGATAACCCACCCAAACAGCCGAAATATTTTTTTTTATATTCTAAATTTTTAGACGTTCTCATTATTATTATTGATCAATTTTACATTCACAATGCTATTGTGATAAAATATAATAATTTGCATTCATAATGTTATTTTAATTAGAACAAATTTTCATCTTTATCGAAAATAATTAGTATAATTATTTTCTTCCATCATCTGGTTTTAAACAAACTATTATAAGGATGTGCATTATTTATGTTACAGGTTGTATAGTTTTTCAAGTTTCCTTTATGAAAGTGCTTATGTTTATCTATTACAGGATGTCGATAACGGCTGCATCATCAGTCCCATGGCTACTCTGATACCACTATCACGTGGTATTTCTCTGTACGCACGTTTCCATGCTTGCGTGTGTACGGGCAGTTGGTGCAATGTCGCAGCAAAAAAACAACCATGGATAGCATATATTACGATGTTTGTATTTTGGTCAATTACGATTTTAGTGAATGTATCGGTAGGGGGAGATTTTTAGCGAATAATATTTTGGCGGTCTTTTGAAGTCAAATGCTAAGTTTTAAGAGTAAAATTAATGTATATTTTTATTTATAAAATTCGTGTGTAACCATCGTATATATGAATTTTGCACCGATGTTAGTATTGTAGGCAATGTAATTGTTTTTATTTTAAATAAAATCATTCCCAATTCATAAATGCTGTTTATTTTGTTTGTTTATTTGCATTTTATCAAACAACCTGACGTGGCGTATACAGTACGTCAGGTTATACAACTTTTAAAAATTGTAGTTGTAGTTGTTGTAAAATTGTTTTTAAGTTTAAAATAAAGAAATTTGATATTGTAGCATATGATATTATACAACCTAATTGGCATACTACGAGTATCATCTCCATTATTCTTCTCCATTATTCTATTATTAACCAACTTCAAAATCCAAATGGAGAAGGTTATATGTTTGACGGGGATATATATTTTTTTATATATGGTTAATGATTTTTCCGCAGATTATTAAACGATTTTATCGTACTGACCACTTTAATCACGAATTTGTCCTCTTTGGTTGGGAATTCCATATTAAAATTTATACAGATATTTACACATGTATTCGTTTCGTTTCATTTGTTTTTTTTCTTCTGTTTGTCTTATTTACGTCACCCAGTATAAAAAATGGAAATCTTGAAATATCGTGTTATTTACGAGTACGAGTTCCACCATGGTACCAGTGCTGCGGAAACGACTCGAAGTGTTAATGATGTCTATGGCGCTTGTGTCGCAAAAAAAAACAGTGCGTTTTTGGTTCCAACGTTTTCGTTCTGGAAATTTCGACCCGCAGAACAAGTCCCGTGGACGGCCGGAGACCCAAGTTAATAATGAGGAATTGAAGGCTATTGTGGAAACGGATCCATCGCAAACTATATCCGAGTTGATCATTACCTGTGATGATAAGTGGATTCTCTACGATAATCGGAAGCGCTCATCGGTGAACCCTGGCATGCCAAGCCAAATACTGCCCTAAGCGAAAATTGACCCCATAAAAGTTACTTGTAAGCGTTTGGTGGACTAGTGCCGGTGTCGTTCATTACAGTTTTCTCAAATCTGGCCAGACGATTAATTTTCACGATACATGTGATACAGCCTGGTGACAGCCAGACAGACAGCCAAGTCTTAGTAAAAGGGTTGCCATTTTACCCTTTTGTTACGGAACCCTAAAAATTAAAGATGCTGCCGAAAGTCACTATTCCATGCGAACAAAGTCGCGGGCACAGCTAGTCATTAATAATAATACCCAAAACAGAAACTTATATTTTTCCTGATATGAAACCGAAAAAAGGATTAAAGTTTTTTGAATAGGTTCAAAAGGAATGCCGAAATGGAAAGAGTAGAAAAAAATGTGCCGTTTCGAATATGATAATTAAAAAATGAAGTAAACTATACAAAAAGCGAAACCGCTACAAACTATGCCAATAGTTATTTTCTCAAAATTATTAATATATTTTTAATACCGAGATCAAAAATGCCAAAATTGACACTTTACGCAATAATCACAGTCAAAATGTATGTATGGGAGGCTTCTTAAAGTATATTTTTTGGCCCAAGAGCTCGGCATTTCGAGCTCAATCTGAGCTATTACTCAGATTGCGCTTTTCGTACAATCGAAGAGGAACAATGAGAAAATTATATAAACAAGAAAAGATCATTTTAAATCATTTTTAAATTGTATTAAAACGTCGCGTGAAAGATCATATAATACTCTTTGAATAGATCCAGGGATTCAGGATCCTTATAAAATTATTTGTGGTATATTGAAATAAAATATATCAGAACTAATAAAGACTAAATATATATATTAAAAGTAGAGTAAATATATTATACTTACTGTTTGCTTTTGACTTGACTTTGACCATAGAAATATATATGCACGTATTTACAAAAAACAATAAGAATCTAATAAAGAAAAAAGACTACAAGATGAAGAATATTCATAAATAAAAAATAAACATGAATTTGTCTCTTTGACTTTCGTTTTAAAAAAAACTCTTTGCCCTATGATTTCTTTGGAAATTTGATGCTATCACATGAAATGTAGCTGAGCATCATCCTATCTCCAAATTGCCGAATGTAATTGATTATACATGTAACCAAAAATAATTTGGCAGGCGGAAGCATGATGCTTCAGTGAAATTATCAATAAAATAACATTCCTCCCCCTATCGTGTGCCAAATTATACTAGTTAATTGAGTCAATGTCGCCGTTCTTCGCATTGGTGTTGTTGGCGTTCGTTCATAATGAAGCTGCTTACATTGAGTACCAGGATTCAGAGGATGATCAAAGTGATGATGCTGATTTCGACGATCAGTACGAGTCGGAAGGTAAAGGTTTCAACTTAAAGACAGACATAAATTGATAGCTATTTTCCTTCTATTTTCCCACGACTTCTCGCCCGCATAAAGTATAGAACATGTCACTCGCATATGACGTAGCTGCCCGTAGAAGAAACAATTTTTATAATCGGGCCAGTAGTTTCACAACCTATTTAATGCAAACAAACAATAAATCTTTCTTTTTTACAGCATTAGTATATTTCAATGAATTATAATATCACATACATTGATCTTACCCCAAATAATAATATTTAATGGCAGGACTTCGTGGGATGGATGAGTTAAATATACTGAACAACCTTTACTATGGGAGCAACACTGAATTCACTAAAAAAATAATTATCTGTTTCATACAAAATTAAAATACCTACCTAACTTTTTAAATGATTAACTTATATTTCTAAAATTTTCAGTAACCAATAAATAGATAATAATAAAATATTATTATACAATAAAATATATATTTTATTCAAAATGAGCGCCCTTGTTTTTTATATAGGCCCATAGACCATTTGGCCAGACATCAATGGCGGCACGAATCTTCTCTAGCGAAATTCGCTTTGCTTCTCGAACAAGGGTCCGCTTCAGTGACTTTCGACAGGCTCTGAGCAGGATGACGCCGAGTCTTGCTGTAAAACCTAATCCTTATCCTTATCAGATAGGAGTTTCACCACGGGCTCTAAAATGTCACTCTGATAATTCCTGGCTTTCATCTTGACACCTTGTTGGCAGAAATGGAGTGGAGTGACACCTTCATATGAAACTCCCCACTATACCATTACTTTAGCCTGATGAGGAGCAGGGCTCGGAAACGTTATTCAAAATAACGTTTTTAAAACGTTTCTTATGGTTCTTTGGGCAAGATTGCGTTCGAAACGAAAACGAAGAACGCTTTAAAAAACCGGTTTAATCCGCAAGACGGTGCCGCGCGGGCTGTAAGGGCGGCGTACATTTATTTTATTACGTTATTTACAGTATGCGATGCAAAAAAACGCAAAATAAATGGTTAAAAACGTTTTATTAACCGAAAACAATATAATTCTGTTTTTTTCCAAAATCGTTTTTTATATCGTTCTGTTCGAACGACACCGAAACAAAAAGTTTTTTAGGTATTTAAGATGAAAACGTTTCGAAAAATATACCGGTTTCCGACCCTTGATGAGGAGTGCGTGCGTGAGACATTCCGTGCAGAAGCTGGAACACCCTTGCTACTTTTAGCGAACACTTGATTGTTTTGTCAGTTGAACTTTTCTTCGACAGTAAAAAGAGTAAAGAGTATTTCCTTGGCATCATGTCTCCTCAGCAGCAAATATAAAAAAATTATTTGCGATACAAATAAACTAAAAGTTAACATTCCAAATTCAAAATCGGTAAAAAATAAATATCAGCCAGAAATATTATATTTTATTTTTTCAGTAATAAGTTTGTCTAAAATCTTATGAACACACGAGGTATACTAATACTATAAACAGGAAAGCTTCTATTGTTTCTTTGTTTGCATCGAATAGACTTCGAAACTACTAGACCGATGTAAAG